TTTCATGTCTTTCTTTTTCTAACCCCTAAACAGGCCATAACACTGCCATTGTCAGTATGCAAGATCAGGGAGAAGTGTGAACCCAACAACAAATGAACCTATCTACCCCTACTGAGGAGAAAAAATATAAATAAATAATCATACTTATTATAAAACCCAGGTTGTGTGTGTGTGTGTGTGTCTGTACATTTATATATTGGATCGGATTTCCTACATTTTTCAACTGATTTCAACAAATCTTCACAGGACTACGTAAAATTACCTTGCGGTGGTTCTGACAGCGGCAAAAATTGGAAAAACACAATTGTTTTTGCACAAAATCAATTTGAAAACACAATTAAGAGGCATTGCGAGAATGAAAGGGGGACAACTCATATTGTTATACTTATTATAAAACCCAGGTTGTTTGTGTGTGTGTTCGTTTATATATGGGATCGGATTTCCTACATTTTTCAACCGATTTCAACAAAACTTCACTTTTTTTTTTTTTTGGCAGGTAGTGTTTCTTATTGTCTTGCACACTTTTTTCTTTATTTTTACATTCAGAATGCTTTAAAAATTCCATTTACAAGACAATTGTTTATAATAAAATTCTATTCAATCAGTAGACTCATAATGATTGAAAACAATGTTTTTGAGTTTGGGTTTGACCAATTCGTAAAAAAAACAAAAAAAAAAAAAAAAAAAAAAAAAAAACTAATTGAGACATGCGTGTCCGTCAACCTTAAACAATAATCTTTGTCAATTTTATTTTTCAGTCTTTATGATGGTTGATACTTGATCTATCTCTTACTGTTACATCCCCAGGCAACGCCGGGCTCTTCTGCTAGTTAGGAAATAAAATTTCTGAGTTCAGACAGATATGTTACAAATATAAAGTTGAATTTAGAAGAAACCAGAAATCCAATCCAAAACAGGAAAAAAGTTGTAAACCACTACGCAGAAGTATTTTCGGATATCATTTTTCTAGATAAGCATTCATGAGATCTTCCTCAAGGACACCTATTCAAAAGAACAGGGAAGAGTGTGAATCAGGTGTTAGGCAAACCTACCTACACCTATTAAGGTGAAAAAATAATTAGTAAATAATATTTCAGAGTTCAGACAGAGATGTTTGAAGTAGATATTAGAAAGATCTGGAAACTCAATCCAAAACAGGAAAGCAAGGGATAAACCCCTACTCATGTGCGAAAGATTGGGGAGGAGTGCTTTAACCATGAGACATTTATTATGTCCTACATATTCAGTCACTTGCTACAATTTCCTTTAATCTTTCTCCACAAAAATCCATTTTTTTGGGGGTCTGAATTTCTAGTGTAAATAAAAATCATGTTTAATCTTTAGAATAGTGTTCTTAGGAAGTGGTCAGGCCAAAAACTTTGTCACCTCCTTGTATACCCTTTTATTTTCAACAGCTAAATCTTTTTTGAATGCAAGCATGAAGGAGGATACAATCTGCATTTTTTTTAATACAAAATAACAAAAAAAGGCAGAATTTATTCAAATTATGACATAGCCTGAAGACCTTTGATTAGGCTAAGTTTCCTTAATAGAATCAATTATTTTTTATTATTATTTAATTTCATCCCACACAAAAAAAAGATAACAGACAAAAACATTTTTTTTGTTAATTCTCACTCCTAATTCATTTATAAAGCTTACCATCAATATTGTCCAACTTCATCGCTCTTCGGTATTGAATACGGAAAATGAAGGCATCAAGCACAAAAGCCACGACAATGTTCATCACAACCTGCAAATAAAAACTTATCACTGAGAAAGAAGTTCAACATTAAACCATTGTTATATGTTGAAAAGAACTCACCTAAATGTCACCTTTGATAGCTTTTACTAGACATTAAGCCCTATCCTATTTATAAAACTTAGATTATGATAAAACTATAATTCTGAGGTATGCTATATTTCTGGGTTAAAGTGCTCAATATCAGTAACAGAGTGTACATAAATATAAAAGTGAACATTGAGGTCAAGAACCAGCCACAACAGTCTGGGTACTGATTGCTTTAAGACTGTCACCACTGGATATTGACGTCAATGTCCACTAATTTAGATTATAATTATTTGCAAATGCTAATTATTACAAAGTTTAAAAAGATGCTGAAAAGATCTTGGCCTGACCAAGAAACCCTTTAAAATCAGATTTCTTTTGTAGTTATTTTGTATTTGAAAAACTATGTAAAAAATCTTACATTATAGAATTTTTTTGATTTTTATTGTTATTTCTTCTACTGTATATTTACAATTGCCTTTAAAGAAATTCATCTCAACTTCTTTTTTAAAGACATTTTATTCTTTTGTAGTTATTTTGTATTTGAAAAACTATGTAAAAAAATCTTACATTATAGAATTTTTTGATTTTTATTGTTATTTCTTCTACTGTATATTTACAATTGCCTTTAAAGAAATTCATCTCAACTTCTTTTTTTAAAGACATTTTATTCTTTTGTAGTTATTTTGTATTTGAAAAACTATGTAAAAAATCTTACATTATAGAATTTTTTTGATTTTTATTGTTATTTCTTCTACTGTATATTTACAATTGCCTTTAAAGAAATTCATCTCAACTTCTTTTTTTAAAGACATTTTATTCTTTTGTAGTTATTTTGTATTTGAAAAACTATGTAAAAAAATCTTACATTATAGAATTTTTATTTTTGTTATGTCTTTTACATCCTGTAAAAGATTATAGTTCATCTTCTGTTATAAGGTAGCTTTATTTTTGTTCTATACTTATTTCCTATTTTCAAATATATATATATATATATATATATATATATATATATAAAGTCTTACATTATAGCGTTTTTATTTTTATTTCTTCTATATCCTTTCAAAGATTTTGTCTCTAATTCTGTTAAAAAATGAATAGGTTTGAAGAATGAATAGGTACAATATAAAAGCCACAATATTTTTATTCTTTGATATAAACCAGTTATAATGATATAGGCCTACTCAAGTTAAGAACGTATGCACAGGCTTTTTGTAGGCCATAATAACTTAATTACATAAAGAGGAGTCGGAGTTGAAGGTGGCAAAAATAGAAGAGTTAGACACAAAGGTTTTGTGTTCCATCTCCACAGCCCTGGATGAATCCACATCATTTCCTCTGTTCGGAGAGCTGTCAGTTGGAACTTTTTTTCTTATATTCAAAACACAAAGAACTGCTACTTTGCGGAAGAAGATCCTGTAGAGATGCTTACCTGAATCTTAAATTTTTCAAGGCATGAGTCTATCATTATCTTTCTTATCCTCATAATATTCACTGTTTACCACTTTCTCATACATTCATATCACACACTTCATTGATAATTACCATTTTGACTATCTCTCCTCTATCTTGAGTAGCTCTCAAGCCATGTACTAAGTGAACTTTATCTTTAAAAATGACTGGCAAATACACTTGTAAAAAGTATGAATTCATCTTTCTTCTCTTACAGCAGATTGAGTGTCTAATCTTGGTTGGCAACCAGTCTAGGAGAAAGAAAACTCTGAATTCAGAACCGTATATAATCCTGGCAAAGCACATACTATACAGCCAATGAAAACGTTATGGAGCTCACAATTAAATGTGATATGGGCTTATGGATCACGGATAAGGTAAAATAAAGGAAGGATCACTGACAGAGAGAGATCAAACTTTTTCTTGCTTATTCTAATTTTCTTTTGAACTCAGGGGAGACAACTCTGTAATTAACAGTTAATACATCTGGAGTTATTGTTCATTAGCAGACTTGTTATTGTTAGGCAATTTATGCTTTTGTTGGTTCTTATCTCCATAGGGAATGGCTGCAAAACACTTGCCTCCTACTATTTTATAGGCAGAAACACACAAATGCATGCTGGGATTTTCTTCCTAATAAAATAGGCCAGTTCTTGGTTTTATCTGACTCAGTCCCGGTCTGTCTTGTCTTGAAGTTAGAACTCTATGTTTACTTGTCCGAACTTGCTTTTGTGTGTCAACCCCAATTTTTAGTTTGTGAGCTTTTTGCCATATTACTGTTGTTTTGTCTTATTATTGTTAAATTTCCTTGCATATACTCTTTGCTTGCTGTATATTATTTTTTGACCTGTTCTTTTCTTTTCTTATTCAAACTTTCAATTGCCAATTGTTTGTTAGACAATTTACTTATTTTGCATTTAACCATGGCTACTCATTCCACAACTTAATTTTCCGATCTGCTTTTGTACTAACGAAAATTCCACTAGAAGCCATTTTTTGCTGTATTACACCAACCAACTGAAATCAAGTTTTTTATAATATAGATATGAATGTGTGTTTATTTTCAGTGATAATTGATTTTATTCCACATGTTTTAATCTGAAGTCTGCTGTACTTACCATAGATACAATGTAAAACATCATGAAAAAGGCTCGGACCCATTCACTCACATGCACAGCATAACCTTCCTGAAAAGACAAAAATTATAAAGTCAGTCAGATTAAAACAAATCAAGAAATGTCACAACTATTATTTGCTAAAAAAGGTATAAATTTAAATATAAAAGATAACAATATCATTTTTTTTTATTAACCTTTAGCACTTTATGTTATTAATATTACTATCCTTTCCACTGCATTCTTTTTCAAAGCTTTAACAATTGCAGTATCCTTATTATTAATTTCACTCAAAGTTGTTTTCTGTTGCTATAGCAGGATATGACAACACAACTATGAAATTCAAACACTATTGTTCAGGAATTAGAGGCACCTTCCATAACAAGATAAACTTTTTGTACTGCAAATGAAGTCACATCAAGAGTGATAAAGTTTAAAGCAAGCATTGTCATGGACTTTTTGGATGAGCATTCATCTCACTTTACTCACATTTTTATGGCAAGCCACAATGAAAAACAAAAAAATATTGGTAATGACAACTTTATTATTTTTCTATTTAGTATACAAACTTGATTAAATATAGAGGAACCCCCATGCAAACCAACAGCAAAGCAACTGAAAGTTTGATCCAGTTAAGATAACTGAGGTCTAGCCTATCAGGTATCAATATTTATTACCAAACATCTTCTGCCATATCCCTACAGCAAGTGGCCAATAATGGCTCTCCACAAGTTCCTGTTCTTTTATAGCTTTTAGTTATAATGGGCTGTTTTCTCTTGCCTTCAGCATGTCTTCTTGCAAATATTACATTTTTTAAACCCTTTTTTCTCATTATGCGCCCTATAAATTTCAACTGTCTTTTTCTGATTCTAAGTATAAGTGTCTTTTTTGTTTCCATTGCCCCCTAAAACTTTGCCATTACTCACATGTTCAGTCCATGGTATTCTACAGAGCATGGCTGGCCAGGAAACGGGTATGAGATCCCAATGTCATGGTACCATATATAAATGTGTGTAATCAACACATAATGTGGGAGTTATTTCTCTGCCTTTGACATTCTTGTTCACTTTCTCACTGCCACACCTATTTAAGATTGTAATGTCTAGCGGAGTGGTTCTCAAACTTTTTTTGCCCAATGCAACCTTTTCACTGTATGTCAGAAGGTCATGCTCCCACCATTCTAAAAGTGTTGGACTCAAAAGGTGCATTCTAAATAAGATATATATATTATTGATAATCTTCATTCTCTTCCATATTAGTAGATATACATTTACAGGAGTTTTGGGTTTTTTTTAAAGGTTCCAAAAGAAGAAAAAGTAAAAGATCCCTTCCTGAAACCCTGAATTCCCTCCCACCTGGAGGAAGTCCCCCGTGCTGCTGGTTGAAAACAACTGGTCTAATGAGTCATTTCTACCTAACAAGATTCAAATCTTGTTAGGCCATGGTTTCTATTTACTGCTTCAATGGAAATCAAAGTGAGAATCCACTTGTCGGAAATAATGACTAACGCCAGAGTATGATTAAGGGAATTCTACATTTTGGCAAATAGACAAAAGAGTTAACAAAAAGTATGTCAAAGCATTAAATCTTTAGATGACATCAAGCAGCCTTCGGGGGTGAGAGTACTTATAACTTGAGGGGGGAGGGGTTCTTTGGCCATATTCACATATGGCATTAATCACTTTAAGGGAGATCTCACAACAATTAAAGCTTAATATTGCTTCAGGCAAAAAAAATTAAATAAAAACTTCAACAAAATGAAAAAAAATGATCAAAATTAATAATGGTTGACAATTTAGTGGGGTCAGTACTTCAATAATTAAATATGTAAGGTTCCATATGGGAATATTTTATAGTACATGAAATAATGGTGGTGAAAAAGAGTACATGCACAAAATAACTGACCAATTGATTTCCAGTGCAAGATCATTTTTATTAAATAAATCAACAAAAGGAAAGTTTAAAACAAGAGTTTCTTTTGTTAAAAGTAAGTTACATACACGAATATATTCAGGTAGGACTGTGTTGGTGTGGTTTAGTGTGGAAGCTTCAGCATGGAAAGTTCATGTTACACAGTTTGAAAGAAAAAAAATCCAGAAGAGAGAGTATTTTTTTTTATTATTCCAGAACAGCTGCCGATACAAGGTTTATTTAGGGCTGCTACTAATATTAAAAGGCACTACAACAACATTTAATCAAATAAAAATAATATTACGTGGATCTAAGTTTGCATATTCACAATTCTAGGCCAGATAATATTTGTTGAATATAGTTAATATAAAAATGTATAATTGCACAATTTATAATTTATTAATCAGTAGAAATATATCAATGTCCTCTAATTTACTCAGGATGCAGAGACGAGCAGAGGTGTGGTAGGAGAGACTCAGAATTCCCACTGATTGAAGGGAAAAAAACTGAGATAGCAGATAATTGTCCTCTAAGTGTGACATACCTATCAACCCACCCACTCAGACCATGTAAGTGAATCCTGATATAAACAACTGAATATATAAGAAAAAAGATTTGGATTTTTCATGTCTCACTATGGCATTTATTCTCAGTTTTTCCTTCCTTGTGAATGTGGAACTTTCCCAGTTTTTGCACATAATGATGTGAAAATGAATACAGAAACAACATGGGGTTATTTGTCTGGTTGGTGAAAAGCTGAGAGGACTTCATTATTTACAACATAATTAAAAATTAAATCTGTAGCTAAGAAAGGTAGTTCCTTCCCAGAGACCCAGAAATTTCTTCATATTTGGGCAGAGAAAATTGGTATGAATTCTTACACAAGAATTAAAAATCTGATTTGCTTTTCTTTTCCTTTTTGTCTGAATTTTTTCAAATGAGGAGTCATTATTTACACCCAGACAAACACACTTTGTTGCTATTATTACAATGCTTCAGCTATTGTACCCTCTGGCCTTCATCAGGTACTTGTTCATTCAGGTAAACTGAACCCATTATTACATCTACAGGCATAGATTGTTCTCATTCTGCTATCCAAGTTTCAAGATATGTCATATAGTTCTTATTTAATACTGCTCAGTTATGGCTTGCTCTGTTTGTACTATCTGGCCTAGAGATTGAACTCTCAATTACTATGTCACCAAATTCAGAAACCAACACTTTAATCCACTAAGCTATTGTCCTCTGGGACAATCCCAAGTCTTTCTTTTCCTTGTTTAGTCAGATTACTTAAACTGCATACAAAATTTATCCAACAAATATGATGGCCTCCTTCATATCAGACTGACAAAAAGTCATGAAATACAGGGATATTTTTCTTCAAGGTACAATGAGTTCCAATTATATATACTGGATCTTGTCAAGGTTGACTATAGTGGTAACAGTCATTTGTTCCAACTACCTACACAGGTAAAAGTATTATGGATGAGTGATTTCCCCAAGTGCCAGTTCAACTATTATCTTCATCAACCATTGTGGCAAACCAGTGTAAGATATTTTATCAAAGTATCTGTTAATAAGACAGAGTGCAAGGATAAGTAAATTCATGCCTTCCGCAATGTGTAATGAACTCATTAAGAATTCAAATTTGGTTTCCTAATTTTCTTGCTGATAAGTTGAACCTTAAAACAATTTTCTATGTAAAAGCTTTGTCTCATACATTCTTTAATTCAAGTGTAGTAAAAAAAAAAAAAAAGAAGTAATTAAAAAAGAGAACTGTAACTTACCATTATTATAAACCAATTATTAACAACAGTCAACTCAAATAAGGTCACTGAAAATAAAAAAAAACTTTCAAAGAAGGTTTTATACTTTTAAATAATTGTATTGTATTAAAAATCATTTTATTTTTAATTCATTAAAAAATTACTAAAAAATCTATTTATTACTACTTTTATTTCTCCAAAGTCTGATCTTATTTCACCATACATTTATGATGAATAGCAGAGAATCTCAATTGGCAGAAAGAAAATCTACAAGATTCTTTTATCGGTATAGAATTTTATTATGGCAATAAAAACAGTCATAATTAAAAAGTATAGAAAAATCTAATTCAAGTTTTTTCAAGTACAGAAAAATCACAACTAGTTGACTTTTTTACTATGTCTGTTTTTATTGCTCTAATAAAAGTTGAGATGGTTGAGTTGTGGCACTGTAAGAATGCTGATAATTTAAAAAGAAGAAAAAAGACTTAAATTAAATCAAAAGTGAACACAAAGATGAAGGAGGTAGTAGATAGATTGAAAGACACACCAAAAACAAAAGACAATATACCTTTTTTTGTTTCTCATTTCGTGAATAAGGACCTCACTAGAAGATAGTTTGAAATCAACTTGGGCAGAGTTGAATCGTCCAGCACTAATTGGACGTGACATCTATTTTGTTTTGCTAGCTAGGACCAATGGACAGTGTGGGGAAGGGCGCTGGCCTTGGTCAGGACTAAGAGACCACCCCAGAGAGCAGATAATAATTTTATAGTGACGTTAGAAATAAAATACGATTTGTGTTAGGTGAAACACCTATTCCCTGGATAGCAGCAGCAGCATGAAGAGCTGATATGAAGAAGTGGAAGGAAAATGGATATGCCCACTAAAAGGTACTGGTGCGAGTAAGAGAAGGTGGGAGAACAAGATGGTGGACTGATGTGTTGCTACTGCTAAACCCCGCACAGGGATGGGGGCTCACAATAACAATATTTGGACATACTGGGGCCACCCAACAGCACCCATGGAGAGATTTGATTGTGTCACAGGAGATTTGAAGGTGACCCAGAACAAGTCAACTCAACCTGCTTGTAAATTCTTATAAGAAAAAGTGTTCCTATATAAACCTTGTTGATTAACAAAACTTTCATTTTTTTTTTTTGTCTTATAACATCATCCTGCCTGAATGACAGCAATCCATTGATATCTGATGACAATTCAATCCTTATCTGCCTTGTGATCAAAACAAACACAAAGTGGGACAGGGAAAGACTTGGATTGAAATGACCAACTTCACAGTTAGATACAGGATTCTATCACAGACACACTGGTGACCAAGGATGGGACAGCGTTGTCATGTAGTACAGGGGCGAGGATGCCCCACAGCATTATAGAGTGTGAAGACAATGCTCTTCAAATATTGTATGAAGACTTCAATTCTAGAATCAAGGCCAGATAAGATGACAAATGAGGCTGGCCAGCAGTTGACTAAAAAGAATGAAGGAGAAATGGTTCTTAAATTCCTGTATAAATCAGATTCAACACATATCAAACTAGAAAGAAGTCTGAAGGAACTGATAAAATATAGACCAAAACAGAAATGAATGATGCAAAATGATTGGCACACATGCTGAGTGACCAATCAGATAAAAGAAAGATATAAAGGTAAGAAAATTATATATATTAATATGCAAACAACAATAACTTTTCAAAAAGAATTAAAAATAACTTGAATGTATTTATGTTTTAACTAAGATTGTAATTTCTTTGAAATAAAAATCCATTTTTTCCATTGAAAAGAAAAACAAAAAATGACAATATCTAACCTTTGCGCCTGAAAAAAAAAACAAAAAAAAAAACAAAAAAACAAAAAAAAACAATGTGACAAAAGGACGGTTATTCCTTTGACACCATTATTATTGTATTCACTTTTGACTTCATCAACAATGTTTATTGTTTTAAAAAACAGTGATTAGAATTTTTAAAAAACCCAAGCACATGAAAGTGGATTTATACATTTTATATTTTTGAGAATTGAGAACAAAATATTAAACACTATTAGATTGCTTATTTACAAGAATAATTTTACATTTACAAGATAAGAATATGTGACAAGAGAAAATGAAAGAAATGCCTGGAAAATGCATTTTATCAAAATTTTTAACTAGAGTTACTTCTCATTATATGTTTATTTAAATGTTCTTGTTTGGACATTTTTATAAGATTATGAAAAAAAAATATATTTTCATATTTATTTCCTTATAAAGTGGTAAATAATAAATATTTCATTATAATTTTTTCACATATTTAATGCAGAAAAATTGCAAAATTTACTTAAATATAAACATCATTTTTTACCAGCAAAAGTCAAGCCACAAAGTATTACTTAACTAACAAGCGATAATTGTTTTGCGGCAGAAATTAATTTTTCTTTATCTTTAATTAATAAAACAACATTAAAAAATAAAACAATAATACATTAAATAATGGCTGCTGATATTTTCTTTAAAATTCACTCTATTATTACAGTTTTAGAAAATATTTGATAAAAAGTACTTCATCTATATAGACTGGCCTAAAATACAATGAATATGAAAATAAATCATAAATAAAATAATTATGCAAAGGATGAATAAAACAATCAAAAAATAAAAAATTCTCTTGACCTTTGTTTTATATATATATATATATATATATATATATATATAATGTCAACATGTAAACACTAGATGGTAACAGTCTATTTCATGCTTGAATGCAATCTTCAGATCATGTGGGTTGAATCGTAGCTCATCTATTTATATACATTAGTCATTGGAGCATTATGGGTAGCAAGACCAGTTATTTCTGGTTTTACAGCCATTGAATAAGTGGGAACAGTTATTCTCATGGTTGTTGAAAAGAATTATGTAACAGAAGGCAATTATTTTATAGCTATTATATAGGGTTATTTGTTAACTTTTATATATTATTAATTATTTTAGTACATTTTGTATGTATTAATTATTCATTACTGATTAATATTATTATTAAATTTATATAGTTGTGCATATGTGTACATTCATATAGTTTATTATTTATTTCCTTATTTTATTTATTTTTATTTTTTGTGGAGGTGGCTGTTTTGTTTAAAGTATACTGTTATTTGCATTGTATAGATACATATATTGGCATATACCTTAGTGATGCTTTATAAAGATATTAGTTTTTAGTATTCAATTCATAAGTAATGCAGTAAAAAATTTTTCATGTTGGCATTTTGAGAAGTTCTGATCTTTTATTTAGTATTTTGAGTTATTGCTGTAGGCTGGTGCTGTTTTTATTTTCCATTATATTTTTGGTGTATTTTGGTTTTTGAATTCCCACATTTATAGTGTTGTGCTGTTTACATAGTTACTATTGTTAAAATATTCCCAAGATCTTTCAGCTACTCCTATATATAGTTTTCCTTGTTATCTGCTGTTTTTACAGTGGTTTGATATATTGATTTGCAGGCAATTGCCATTTAAGAGGCATACATTCTTGTCCTGCAGTTACAAGTGAATCTGGTTGGTGTAGATGATATGCTGATTATTTTTCTGTTGTGCTTTTTTATTATTATCTGTGTTCTTGGTGCTGCTATAGCTGATTTTTAATAATATATATAAGAGGAGGAGGTTTACCTATTAGTTGGATCACACTCTCTTTGAACTTGGGTAGAGGTTTATTTCCTAAATTCTTCTCATAGTCTTTCACTTCCAATAACCTCTTGCTTCTTAGTGGCATTATTGCCTTCCTTATGGTGAAATATATATATATATATATATATATACACACATTAGGTTAGTAACATCTAATAAGTATATGGGACTAAATCTTTCATGTATAAAATAACAATTTATTCCCTTCTGGATTCTGTCTAATTGGCTATAATTAGTATGTAAGTTTCCAGGGACATTCTTTAATGTTCAATTTTCTTGTGATTATGTAAGGGGCTCTGCCCACTCCTTGCAGGTTGGGCATTTATATAACTTACTTTGTCCCAGGTGCTTTGTGGGTGGATATCCTAAGTTCAGTTGGGTTCCCATCTTGTTTTTGTTGAAACACTCACCAATATCCTTAGAGGGCCTAATTCTGCATTTAGTAGTTAGGAGGTCACCTTCTAGGCCAAGCCCCTGTGCTCCTATGGCTTTTGATATTCTGAGATTACACAAAGTACAAAGCTTACTTAGAGTGAATATTGTTCATACTGGATTCACCACAGATCAATTCCTCTTTGATATAAGATTCTGGATGGATATTAAAGTTGATCTAGACTTCTCTTATTTCCTGGCACAAATCATATACTAAACCTTTAGTTTTCAATAATTCACATTGAAGTCAGCATTACAATGAGGATTAATTTCATTGTCATGAAAACGCAATTTTTAACTTAGGAACATCATCTTTTTTAATTTAGTCCGTAAAACATTGCTTATCAAATCAGAGTGCATTTAGTCTATTAAACATAACCATATCAATTGCAAAAGTAATTACAACAATTTCACAAGTAAACAGGAATCAACCTTTATTTTACTTTACTTTTTTTTCAATGTCACTTTACCCTAAAATCCATCATAAAAATTCAGGATGTGGAATTAGTAAATACTAAACACTTCTGATACTTTAACGTACAGAACAGTTATAATAAATTTAGGACAGGATAAAAGGAAATTGAATATAAAAACACTGTGCTACAGATACTTTTTGCCCAACACTGCAAATTGCTACAAAACTAAAACATTAACCTAAAAACTCAAGCCATTAATTAAGTTCTTAAATAGCCTCATCAGATCAAGACTTTGATTTGGATGTCATGCATAGTTACAAACTCGTTTAGATATATCTAAACTGTCAGCTGTATATAACCATTTCCTCAGATCAATGATTAAAACTGCCTTTGAGGGTGTGCAGCTTGTGGGTCTTTGAACCTTGCAGATTGGCACTAAAGAATCACAAACAAAGATCTGTACCAAATAAGAGAAACCACATCACTTGAGGACTTTCAACAGAACAGCAGAAATAACTAAGATGGATAGCACACATAATTCATAGAGAAAATAATGACATAATCAAGATGTTGACATTCCATACTACTACAAACAAAAGGTTAGGAAAGAAACCCCCATTAATACTGGAAAGAGCGATAACAGCTACAGGATAAAAGGCCATAACTTGTAACCATCTATGTGCATACATTTACATTCACAGTGACTATCATATATATATGAAGGAATAATTGAGTGGAATAATTGATAGCGGCCCAGATTGAGGAATTAGAGAGCAGAGTTCAAATTCCAGTCAAATTTGTTACATTTGCTTATATGTAAATACTCTTGGAAAAGGCATGAACCCATCTCTTCTCCCCCAAGCTATAGGTAAATAGTAAGAGAGATGGTCCTATAGCCTTAGGTGGTAGCCTGTCAAGGTGAAGGACAACTCTGAATTCAAAACCTGAGGTGGGTTATTTAAGACTTTGTGGCAAAAATCTGTGGATGGTTCTGCAAAAGCCTTCATCACTATAATGAAATCAGATGGGCAGGTTGACTAGCTGTTCTGTTTACTATTTTCATAACAAAGACACTGTCACCCGGATAGGCATATACTACTGTAATGTGTATACTAGATACATTTTGGTTTTTAACTTACCGCCACTGTTAAATATATTATGGAAGTTGTTCAAGTAGTAAAGTCCCTGCAGATTGGTGCTATTGTCTGACCGATAGAAATCTTCAACACTGGAGTTTCTGCATAAAAAGAATCAGAAGAAATATTACCACCTGAAACATTATAGATATTACCCCGTTAAACCACATAAATAAAATACAGTTACATTCGTAAAACAAATATTTAACATGACTAATATTTCCCACAACTAATGTCTGTCTCTCATAATTTTTATTTAACTAAAGTTCTTTTCTTCTTTCCAAAAACAAAAATTGCACTTGGATTAAACAAAAACTAGCAGCATGACCGGGCGTTGCCCGTGCTTGATTCAAAAATCGTGACGACTCATACAGCAATCGCTATCACTTGACTTAAAATATTTTCCCCCTTCTTTGCCTTTAAAAGAGTGGACTTTGCCGTGCTGATGTTGCTACATGTCTTACTTCTTGCCTATCTCACACTGCGAATTTTTTTAAAGCTCTATACTAAACATTAAATCTGTTATAAAAAAAGAACTAAACAAAATGAACACAAAACAATCAGCTTTAAAAAAGGACTCATCACTGGAAAAAAACGAATGAAAAAAGAATGTTAACAACAAATACTTTTTCACACCTAACCCAGTTCCGTGGAATCAGAATCAACGTTGAGTTTAAGCAAGCGAATGAGCCAATTGGAGTAAAGTGCCATGCAGATTTAAATTTTTCCTACTTGTGACGAATGCAGCTATCGATTTTTTTTTGCATGCTAGCATGTTAGTTAACATTCGTGTCAGTCAGCTGTTGGCTCTCACGCTGACCAATAGAATCTTCCTGCCTATTTGTGGCAGCCAGCTATAGGCACTCACCCTGGCCAGTAGAAAATGGCCGCAAACTACATGAAAACTGCTGTAGAAGCATGAAAAAAATCGATTATTTCCACTATTAATGGGAGTTGGGAAATGCAAAGTCAGTCTTGGCCTTCCTTCTAACTTGGAGCATGTGGATGTAAATTTTGATGCAAATCTGTCAAAAATTGCGGCCGTGCATTCGTTACACACACACACACACACACACACACACACATCCTGCCTTTTATAGATAGAGATTACTTACAATATAATACATATTACTTATAATATATTCCTTCTAGCCGACAATTTTGACAGCATGGGTACACTAGTAATAATTATAATAATAATGGCAGTTCCTCGTTCTTTCTAAGCACACATCTGCCAGGGTGGTTAAGCAAACCTTATTACAGGGGACCTGCTCAACCTGTAGAATTCATGTGTGGTTTATACTGCAACCATGCTGTGAAGGCTTTATTTACATTTAGAGAAAGTGCATCATCTGGTACAAACAGCTTGAACAAGGCCAGTAGACTCAAATCCTCGCTCATGATGACTTTGCTAGCACAATCATTGATGACCATTGAACAGTTCCATCTACAAAATTTCACCTCCAAGGCTTGGGTCAACCATGATCTTGTTTTCAGGCCGCATGCTAGGATTTCCTCCCCAGACTGATAACATCAGGAAGTTATCTCCCTGGCAAATTGACCATGGAGGGATTTGAAACCAGTTCTTATGGTTAGAAAGCCACATGACCAAATATTTTATATTCCCCATCATACCAGGAGAATCAATAAGAGCATATATCTCAGAGTCTGTAAAAACAGATTCAAACCAAATTAATGTTTTGTATCAATCAAAATAAAGTAAATCTAGTGGCCCCTCCCTTTTCTTTTTCTTATTTCTGCAAATAATTTGAAACGTATTTATGATGATGTGCCAAAATGCTAATCAAAATTTTGTCAGATATAAATATTGCTATGACTATCTTTGCGCAAAACAAGGATCAATTAACTGGAAGGACTGGCATACTAAGAATTTACTTACATTTCATTGCCGATCGGACCCCAGACAACCACCAGTCAAGATGAATGGGTGGCCCCTTGGAGAGGCCACATGCCTTGAGAGACTATTAGGCTTTAAACTCACACCTGACCTCAAGTGGAACTTGTACATACGATCGCTAAAGAAGCAGAAAAAATGGTCAGTTCCCTGTACCACCCCAGTGAGTACTTGACTCTCCTGCTATCCTCAACAAGAGCCAGATCAGGACTAAAATGGACTACTGTTGTCATATTTGGGCTGGAGCTACCCAGTCTTCATTTTCCAGTCTCAATAGAGTCCAAGAGCATCTCAGAGTCCTAGTAGGTGACAAATTATTTTTTTTTCTCTCTCTCTCTCTCATAGTCAGGATGTGGCACGCCCCTCACTGCTCTATCGCTACTTCCATGGAAAGTACTCAGACCAATAGCATTCCTTGGTTCTGCCAGTTTTAACCTTTACAACAAGGACCTACCATACAATTCCCATTGCAATAAACTGCCCACATTACCTCCATATTCCATTGGTGAGAAGTTCCACTCAAACAGCTTCTTCCTGAAAACCACTGCTCTGTGGAACAGACTCCCAAGTGGATGTTTCCTCGATCATTACAATCTTAACATGCTCAAGTGTAGTGATAACCATTACCTTCCCCTCCTATATGCATAAACTGCTCCTTACTGTAACCCTCTACCTTGAGGGGCCCCCAAACCTTGTACAGAATGAACCTCACTATAACAAAAACATTATCTAGTGTGTCATGTACATAGAACATGGTTGTTCATCTGAGCAACTTTTTACCATTTGAAGCTACAGACTCGTTCTGCTACATGAGTAGTTCTAAACTACTGAGATTTGGCTAAAATGTCTATGGACAGAGTATTGGCAAGGAGGCTGGTCTTCAAGTTCAACAGGATAAACTTCCAATATTTACATTTGTTACAAATTCACAGGACATAAGACAGCATATTGTTTTTTTAATTTTTTCTTTTTTTTTATTGCCTTTTGTTGGCAATTTTAATAAAGACAATATTTGTTGCCATTATTTGCAATGTGTTAATCAGAAATTAAGTACAGATCATAAACATAGATTAGAATTGAGTGTTTGTTGATGAACATCACTAATAAGCAATTAAATGAATTTAAAGATCTTATTTTAGATTCTTTTAGATTGTGTTGATGCCAACAAAACATCTTTACAAATTTTCTGCTGGAAAGTTAAAAAGGGAAGGCTTACTTGCAACAATTAGTGAGGTTCACATGGCCAAACATTTCCATTCCAATGATGGCAAAACAATAATATAGCATCATGATCGTGATTGAAATGCTGAAATAAACAAAAGAAATAATGCATCGGCATGACAATGATTGCTCCTCCAAAGTTATATTTATACATTTTTATTTTTTTATGGCTACAGATTTGCTGTGATAAATTATTTTTTGAGATACAAATATTTGCTTGTCTTTTCATTTAAACTCAATGTTGGCAACTGCTCTTGAAAATGACCTCTAATCAGGGGTTAACTGGGGCAAGGAATGGCTTGTAAATTTTATTGCCTCCAAAACAAAAACTGCTTTTATTTAACCATCAAAGAGAACCTTTTCTGGTTGATGCTAGACATCAGCAGAACAACACACTGTACTTTCTCGGCCTCATGTTTTCCACTGACATAAAGTAAAGCTATTCCATCGAATCAATAGCTGTATCTACTGCAAAGAAAGTTAGGTCACTGTATCATGCCAGAAAATCTTGACTTCAGTCACTTTCTGACTGATGTGACACAGCTTCCCTCTGTCTTTTCTACAAATATTTTCATGGCAACTGCTTTGACAAGCTTTTTTTCTCTGGTGCCTGGATGCATGAATTTAAGCATGCTACTTGATTGGTATTTCAGTCCAACCTGTTTACTGTTGAAATAGCTAAATGCAACCACCACTTCTACTCCAATAGTTTATTTTCTCACACTTCCCACCTGTGGAACTCCCTCCTATTTCCTTGCTTCTCTGATAACTACAATCTTCAAAAACTTAAATGCAACATTAATCATTATCTTCTATCTTCTTGAATCCCATTCATCGTTTTTCCTTTCCTCAATCCTCCCCTATACTCAGTCTTTTCTCTCAGTTTCACTCATTGTAAACCACCACTACATTCTAGATGATTATGAAATAATTTTGTTTCTGACTGCATTTCTGAAGTTTTTTTTTTTTAATCATTTCACTCCCAGCAAGGCAATAAAGCCACTAAGATACAAGAGGTTACCAAGTTAGAGAATATGAGAAAAAGAAAAGACTATTAAGGAGATATAACATTGAAAGAACAAGAATTAAGAAGACAGAAGATAACAATTGACATTGTATTTAAATTTTTAAAGATCAAAATTGACTGGAAAGTAAGAAGCCCAAAGAGAGTTCCACAGATAAGAGGCATGATAGAAGAAACTCTTAGCACAGAACTTACAGTTACATGTTGCCATTTCAGCTGTAAGATAACGCGACCTTGCCGCCAATCTAGTAGTACACTTAAATTCATGAAGTCGAAGTACTAAAGACAAAAGCTCATCAGAACAATTACCATGATAGTATTTATAGAAAAGCACAGGAAAGACTCATTATGATAGTGGAAAAGTAACTAAAGTCAAGATGCCAGGTCAGGACTAATAATATTGCAGATTCTTCTTTGAATTTTATCAAAAATCTCTAAATGTATAGCTGGAGCATCAGAGCAGTTGAGGCAACAATATTCCATGAATATTTTATTATCTTAGCTTTATTATCTTCTTATTTCGATCTTTTATCTTTTTTATCTTATCTTTTTATTATCTTTATCATCTTTTATTAACTTTATCATCTTTTATTAACTTTATCATCTTTTATTAACTTTATCTTTTATCTTTTTTATCTTTATGATATTTTTTATATTTTTTTTATCTTTCATCTTTATGACTTCTATGGAAATCATAAGGATCATTGAACAATTGAAAAGGAAATTAAAAAGATTGGCAAGATAAAAAAATATTGGTTTTAAGAATGTCACAAAAAGAGATTTGGTGGAAAATTAAAAAAAGGCAATAAACAAGAAAGGGACTGATCTACAAGAAGTTGTTTAAAAAGAAAACTGATTTTGTGAAGGTAAACAATGAGAAAAAAATGCCAAATATGAATGACACCGTTAACCCTTCAGCATTTGATACACCCAAACCTAGCCCCGTAAATATTGGCTCTAGACCCACCATAACCCATCCCATGTACACTCTGCCATAACATAAGTTTAGAGTAAATTCATGCTTGCTCACATTCTGCAACACAAACTACTATCCACAAAGATGAGGACATTAGCCTAAATGTAAATAATTGTTCTGCCCTTTATGAAAAAGAAATCAAATTAACAGAATGATTTACAGCCTCTCTGAATGATAAGCCAGTAAAAAACGTGTGACCCATTGTTAAAAGACATGTATATAAGAATGGAAAACAATACTCAAAGAAAATCTCTGGGAAGCAATAAAAACTGCTGCAATCAAGGTTAAAATCAAAAAGTAGAAAAATAATTAAATCTAATGGTTGATAGATTGATGAATGTTGTAGAATATCAAGGTGCCAACATTAACATGTAAAATAATTTATATATAAGATATTGTGTTAATCAAATAGATGTTTCAACAACATTTATTGTTTGGAGATATAAACATTGATGTTACACCAAATTTGTTTGCATACCCAAACAATTATTTTCAATAAAGACAAATATTAGAAATTCAAACTTGCTCAATATTTCTTCATATAAATATATCCTGAAAAATTTCATCAACATTAATTTTATTCCGAAAATATTGACTTGCATAATATATTTTACATATTCTTACCTTACAAGCCGTGAAAAGATAACAAAAAATGTTCCCAGTACATCTCGGTACCTTCGCTTGATTTTAAACAACCTACAATGAAATGAAGCATGCATATAAAATTTGTATATCTATATAATATTAAACTCTAATTTTGTATATACAGTATGGCATGGGTAAATTGTGGCCATTTTATATTTTTAATTTAGCACTTGCACTTTGTTTTTGTTGATTGTACAGTATATCAGAGTTACTTGGGAACCATCTGTGAGAAAAAGAGCACCATGACACAATTCACTCCACCAGAAATTTGGAAACAGCATGCTTTACTGCTTGGAATTAGTGCTGGAAGTTCCAATATGAACATTTCAGAGTATCTGGGTGTCAATCTGAGGACAGTGCAGAGTATTCAGAAAGAGTTGAATGAGTCTAATGGTGAGTACAAAAGTGTTTGGAGTGATCACTAGTGATGGCAACATTATGCCTTCATGCATCTTCCCACAGGCACTCAGACTCAACATGGAGGTGCACATCAAATGCTTTGAAGAGGTAGTGCTGCCCTGGGTCAAGAGGATAGCTGCTGGAAGACCCTTTGTCTGGCAACAGGACTCTACACCATGCTGCAGGAGAACCCAGTCATGGCTGTCAAACAATTTCTGCAGCTACATCACTTCAAACATCTGGCCACCTAACTCCCCAGACTGCAACCCACTTGATTATTATATGTGGGGCACAGTTGAGCGAAAGACCAACAAAACTCCTTATAATATCAAAGATGAACTGAAGGCAAGGATTATGGTAGCATTCACCAACTTAAACAAAGAGACCACCCAGAAGAGGTACAAGAGGTTCCATAGTCGTTTGGAGGCCATGGTTGAAGCCAATGGCAACTTTATTGAATAAATTTACTCTCTAGTATTTCAAGATATTTTTGTGTAATTTTGGTAAATATATCTGTTAAAATGAAATGTCAGTGTTACTTTCATTTTTGTGTAATTTAGACGACAAATTATTCATCACATCCTATATGTATGTGTGTTCTTAAAATACAGATTATACAATACATAATACCTAAAACAATTTAGAAGTATATTCTACCATGAACCACTGCTGAATGCAATGCTAATTTTCAGTAAAATTAGACAAGGTGTTCATTAGCTAGGACCATTTTTCTGTTTTTATGGCATTTTTAATAGGAAATTCAATGTTTGTTTTTGATATATATTCTTATATCAATCTGTGTATATAAACAATTGCATATTATATTCCAACTATTATCTCTGTGAAAAATAATAATCATTCATAATATATTATAAAAACATTATTAAATAGCTTTAAATATGCATAAGACAACATATATTTATATAATTCACTACAGACATTAGAACTTTCTTTTTTTACAAACCACTTGGGAAGGTGAGGAGACTATGTGTGTCACATGACTTGATAATAAATAAATAATTGCATGCTGAGTTGCTGCCATTATGTATTTTGAAATAAATGCAAGGAAGTAACAAGTATGTATAATAAAAAATATACTTATTATTTTGAAAAAAAACTACACCACAGGCATAGTCTTTTAAGCTGTTACTCCAAATTTTCACACTATGTCCTAATTATGAAGCCCAGTGAAACAATAAACCTTTTACTTTAGTACAAATTATTAATTTTGTATTCAAAGTACATTTTTTGGAAAATTATTTCTCTCTTAATGTAAAGAATTAAAACGTATTCATTGGTATCATAAAATAATTTATTTTCATATTTTAAATCAGGATATATTTAAGGCATTTTGGGTGCTTTTCATTCATTTTGAGGCTGGAAAAAATGTTACTTATTTTTAACTAAAAAATATACTTATTATTTTGAAAAACACTAAATGACTTTTAAGTTATTACTCCAAATTTTCATGCAATATGTTAATTATAAAGCCCAGTGGAACAATAAACCTTCTTTTACCCATCTTTAACTACAAATTAAAGTAATTAATAATAGAATTGATAATATTATTTTCTCATCATTTTAGACCATGAACTGTTTTTAAAAGAAACTCAACAGGTTTATGAGTTGTCTAGTATGTGTGTGATATATATATATATATATATATATATATATATATATATATATATATATATATGAAATTTTGAAAAACAAACAAAAATCCATATATGTAGTTAAAATGAAAGAATTGTCGACGTCAGACGTTTCCGGAAATTCTTTCATTTTAACTACATATATGGATTTTTGTTTGTTTTTCAAAATTTCTACATTCTGTCGGATTTATATCCATTTACACTTGCTTATATATATATATATATATATATATACACACACACACACACAGACAAACCTCTCATCAACAGACTAATAGAAGGGGTGGTCTATTAAAGCCAATTGTCTGTAAATGGGAAGGGATTATTTTTGAGTTATAGAACTACTGTAGTAATTGCTAGTAGTTATGAACATAATGTAAATATTATAAACACATATATATGGCAGAAATAAATATATACTTAATATAGATATATTAATCAAAATAACAAAAATAATAGATTTCTCAGTTACTTTCTCATGTATGCGCTAATGTACCATAAGATTTTTTTTTTTTTATTTTGCCTGCATATTTTGTCCATTGCATCCAAAATCAGTTGATGGGGGGAGGGGTTTGTAGATGAGAGGTTTGTCTCTATATATATATTGTCTAATATATTACTAAAAGACTAAAAAATATCACACCTATTTTTCAAGGCTATCATGGAAAATGGCTACACAGGAGAACAAATAGTGAAGAGTCATATTCGCTTGATGTATAATCAAGCCAAAAAAGGGTCCAGAAGATAATGTTTCTGTCTGAATGTCTGGGATTATTTACACTACTTATATTTGGACTATTGCCCTCATCTCTTCTATTCTCACAACGTTTCAGTCATTATGCCCTCTGGTCTTCATCAGATATATACCAACCTGGCAATTAAAGAATTCAGTTCAGAATTCCCAGATCAATATACACCTGATGAAAACCAGAGAGCACAATGGCTGAAACGTTATGATAACAACAGCAATAGTTTAAATATAGTGTAAATAAAGATTGTGTTTATTTGTGCAGTCTAAAAATGTCAAGGCCACAGGTACAGTTCACTATGTTGCGTGAGACGAGTTCTCTCTCCAAAAATCCATCTTACATATCTCTAAGTCTACCATTCATCCAGGCTTAGAATATTGTTGCCACAATTTAAAAAAAAAAAAAAAAAAGAGAAAAGCAATATCCAGGGGAAGAAGGGTAGTAGTAGGGTTAACAAGAAACAGAACTGGGACTTCATTCATTACCTTCAAGATCAAACTGCACAGGGCCCAGCTTATGTAAGACAGGGCCCCACTTTCAGTGCAGCTGCTAAAAACTAACCTCCAGGAAAGTGACTCATTGCTCCTTCTCAGGCTAACATTCTCAGCTGGCACAAAGTGGAAAGACTATATTGAATCCATTGCTAGGTCAGCTGCTAAGAAAGTCGGTTCACGATATCATCCTCAAGGACACATGACCCAGTGGCTAAAAGCGTTGGTTGAATACGGCGACTTCACCCACAGAGTTGTGAGTTAAATACCTGGTTACAGCTGAGGTGAAGAAAAAACTTGAAGAGTTGAGTTAAAGGGAGATAACAGCAAGACATCCAAAAGAAGCATGGTACATGGAACTAGAACAATCTATCCCAGTGGATGAAATAAAGAGTTCAGTTTGAAAATCCAATCACCTGATGGAGGCCAAGTGTACAATGGCCGGGACATTGTGAATAGGGCAACAAAGATAAAGACAACAGTCCAAATAATGTAAATAGAGATAATTTTTCTCTCCAAAATCTGTCTTGCATATCTATAAGTGTACCATTCATCCATGTTTAGAATATTGCTGCCACATATGGTCCAATGCTCCTGCTATTTACCTTAAGCTCCTTGATAAAATCCAAAGAAGAATCAGCAATATTATTGGTCCTGATCTGGCAGCTCAGCTTCAGTTACTTTCCCACTGCTGTAAGGTTGCCTGTCTGTGTCTTTCATGATAATTGCCTGGATGTGCTCTTCACTCTGGTACCTAGACTTTATGAATTTAAACACAGTACTAGATTGGCATTGAAATCTCATCAATTTACAGTTGAGCTAACTAGATGTAATTGTAAATTTTGTCTTAGTGGCTTTACTGCTTTGCATGGGGTGATACCAATTAAAACAAAAACCATCAGACTGGCTGTACATGACAAGGCCTTAAATTATGCATATATGACACCTTCTCATGAAAGAGATGAGGCTGGAGTGGTACAAGAAACATTTTTACATGTCTCAAGAAACATTGATCCACTATTAAAATATTCTCTATGAAGAAAATCATAAATGCTGTTTGAACAAATGAAATGACAGGTATCTTGCAGAGTCAACCCAACAGGATAAGAAAAAACCCCCGTTCCTCTAACATCTTGGAGAAAAAGTTTGGGATGATGTCAACTAGAAAGACTTTGAGGTTCCACATTTTGCCATGGCTCAATGTTAAGTAACCAGAAGACAAGTGTGTAGGCTGGGGAAAGTGTTCACAGCCAGAAAGACAAGAAAGTGCTGAAATTCTGAAAATTAACTACTTTGCTGATTTCTGGCAGGTAGATTTCTAGCAGTCTTCCAAAGCAGACTTGACACAATGTGGCAGGATTTGGGAGATCACCAACAAAAGCCCCCACTCTCAACATCAATACCTTCAAGGATGTCATCAAAGTGGAGTGGGTCAAGATGTCCGAAGATTTTGTGGTTAAGAGTAGCGCCGCTTTTAGAGATCACATAAACTGTTATCTAGAAATTTTATCAATATCCTTTTGGCTTTAAGATTCATAGCAATTTTATAAGTCTTGCATTCTCATCTGGTAATTTGACTAAATTTACACTACAGGCAAAAAATTTGGAACCACCCTACATTCCTTTAAAGAACACTTTAAAATGAAATATTTTTTGTATTTTTTAAAATAAAAGATAAAATTTCAGTAACTACAGTGTGTTGATAAAAATAAGCACTCAACTATAAAATATTATCTACAACTTCATCATATTTTGTTTTCGTCAATAAAATCATCACCTACCTTAATTACTGCTTTACAAATTCTTAGCATTCTTCCCAACAGCTTTTAAAAAAAAAAAAAAAAAAAAATATAAGTAGATGGCAGACTTTCTCAAGCATTCTCCAAGCACTGAAAAATTTCACTCTCATTGGGTATTCTCTTTGAACTCTCCTATCAAATTCATCTCATACTAATTCAATGGGAGAGAGATCAGGAGATTGAGGCAGTCAAGTCTTATTTTCCAGAATTTTGTTCCTTCTTTTAACCCAAGGTAATTCTGACAATTTAAAAGAGTATTTTGGATCATAGTCTTGTTGAAAGGTGAAATTTTCCCAATCATGCATAAACCAGATGGTATAGCATGTCTTTGCCAAATAGAATGATATCGTTATTTTTCATGATTTCCTTTACCTTAATCAAATCTCCAGCCCTTTTGGTAACCTCAAAAAGTTTACTGAGGGGTTAATGTTGAAAACAAAATATAATATCTCTCATAAAAAAAATCTTAATTTAGCAAAATTTATTGTTGACAGATGAATCCCAATTTGAACTTTTTGGCAGTAAGAGGAGCCTAAAGAAAGACTGAAAAATGAAAGCAAATACACTGCAGTTACTGAAATTATATCTTTTACTTTAAAAAAAAAAAAAAAATGCAAAAATAAAGTGTTTTTTTCGGGGTTTTTTTTTTTTTAAATGAGGAGTAGCACATAAATTTTTTGCTTGTGGTGCCTTACTTTTTGGCTATCTCTCATCCATTCACTACTTATCACAATTCTAAGTCAGTTTCTCAGTCATTTCTTATAATTTTATTCTGCCAATAATTTCCTTCTGTTTAGAGTTTGGATTCTCAGTAATATCCCCAAGTGTCCATGGGTTTGTCACTTACCTGAGAAGACGGAAAGGTCGCAGCACCATGATGTAGTAGAAGCTATCATTAACCAGCTCGCCAAGTACACCAGTAATGCTCACCAATGTTACTATAAAGTCAAATCTGTAACAGAATCAGGGTTTTCAATAGAAATTCAAGTTGAAGATTAGGTGATCATATGATTTCAAATATATATGATCATACATTTCAGGCAGTGACTGTACTTACTAGCACATACACATTTGAGTAGAAAACGATTTATATATATATATATATATAAAATGTTTTGGTTATGTGGATAATCTCTAGGAGTTCTTAAGAAATGAATATCCAGGTAAAACTCCTAGTAGAGAGATCAATGTATGAGAATAAAAATAATTCATACAGAACAATATAATTAACAAAAATTTCAACACTGATCTGCACAATCACAATTTGTTTACATTGCGCAGATCAGGTCGAAAATTTCAGTGTTGTGAAAATTGTGTGTGAATTGATTGGATGGTTTTTGAAATATTAGAAAAATAAGATATCTCGATAATAATTTGGCACGCAGTGTATATATATATATATATATATATATAAAATCAAATTATAATCAAATAAATAAATATATGTATGTATATATCTATCCATTGGTGTAAATAAAACAGTACTCAATGCAAAATTTATTAGAGTTATTAAGTATATATATTAATAAGGCGTTTTAGCTTTTCTTCAAGAAGATTGATGATAATGAAGGAAAGGGACCTACCAACCAAGTGATAATGTAAGTACAGTTTCACAAAGGCAGAAAGGTCATCACTAGAGAATCTCAAATGTAAATAAGGGAGGATGAAAGGCGGTCAGGAGAATGGAAAATAGCAGCAGATCTCGATTCAGTATTTGTCTTTCCTATTGGAGCAACAAGTCAACAGCCAGACCTTGTGTTACGGAATAAAAATGGCAAAAAGTATTGTTGTTGGAACTGACAGTCCCTTGGAAAGACAATTTGGAACAGGCAGAGCAAAGAAAAGTTGAGAGATATGAAAACCTCACAGAAAAATGTGAAAAATATGGATGATGGTTGGAGAACAATTGATGGTGGGAAGGAACAGTTAGCACCAATCCAGAAGAAGTCTCCAAAATGGAGAGGCCCTGCTATAACAGAATGCAGCAGAGGAAAAGAGGTTGAAACTGGCTGTTATGGTTCCTCCTGATGACTGATTTTGGATTGGGTCCAGAAATGGAGCTGCTAACTGGTAAAATAACAGTTATTTTAGTATCTGAGGATTGCATAGTGCATGAAACTCCGAGTAGTACTGTCAGTGTTGGGTGTGTGTGTGTATATATTTATGAAAAACTGGTAATTCCTATGGGTAGTCCCAAGGAGGATGAAATCCTGAGAGCTCAATGTAAATCCAGAGCTAATATTTTAAAGAAAAACAGACCACTTTAAGGTTCCATTATAATAATTTATTTCACCAGAGCCCTTTTAAAGGACTCTGGATCATCAGATGAAACGAAACGAAATGAAATGAAAATTCATACTTTTGATAGGTAGTGTAAGTCTTTGTAATTTAGCAGATGGGGTAATGAGGGGTGATTTGAAGTATGATTGAAAGAAATATTAAATAAACCCTCTCTAAACTCGACCATGTTTCTCAAAACGTTTCATCTCAAACGTTTCGTTTCATCTTCTGATGATCCAGAGTCCTTTAAAAGGGCTCTGGTGAAATAAATTATTATAATGGAACCTTAAAGTGGTCTGGTTTTCTTTAAAATATATATATTATTAATACAAAAATATTAAAATCTGAAACTTTCATGCAATAACAATCATCAGGCAGATATTATATATCCGGCTGATGATTCGTATTGATTTTGATATTATTGTGTTGACAGATTAATTTGTTTTTTATGATTTATCAACTTTTTCACATTTATTTAAAGCTAAAACATATTTCTGGATTGTAAGTCTTAATATTTAACCCATAGTTAGGAGGAGAAGAGGTGAACTCATTAATATTATGGTATTAATATATATCAGTCTCTGTTGACTTTGGCATTGAGCCCTCAGTTTATATTTTAAGCTTTTAGCTTTTATTCATACTATATATATATATATATATATATATATATATATACAAACACAATATAAACTGTTAAACATTCAACTGACACACTAATAGAGAAAACAATTTACTAAGATGAAAATGTTTCAAAAGTACACAGTAAATTTGCGTACAGGATCTTACAATGTTTCACCATTCTTGGCAGATCTCTTATCACAATTTAGTATATTTAATAACAAAAGTGATAAAAAATAAGTAAAAAGAAACCAAATGAAAGAGACTATATAGTGAGACTATATATTAAATTTAGCCTTTCAGCATCCTCTCTCCTTCATGCACATGTGTAATCACATCAACATAAACATTACTTTAGTCTGATGAATCCTAAAGGACAAAACACATCGCAAAAAAAACTTTTCCAACTTGTCATAGATTTTCCTAATATTGTTCTTGATATATAAAAATTTGTATATCGTTTTCCCATAATGCTTTCTACAAAATAAAAACATTTTAACTGGATCCAGTGGGCAGAACATAATGACCACTACAATTAAGAGAATTGTAACAGCGCTTTATAAAAGATTGATTTTAAGAGTTGAAATATCAATTTTGGAAATGCATTTATTAAAGTTAAAATTCTTCCATTCTTTTTAATTGCAGAAAACAGTGAAACCATTGGGCAATCCTTCAACAGTTCTGAGATAATTTTTTTTTTTATGTTATACTTACAAATCCCATCCAGTGGTAAAATATTCCTTTGGTCCTTTGCCAAGAATCTTGAGGCAAGCTTCCATCACATACACTGAAGGAAAAACATTTGGCAAAAATCAATGAAAAACTGATGTGAAAAAAAAAGAAAAAAAAACGATATAAAGAGCAACAACAGGAACAAATTTTATTCTCTCATCTCATAAAGCTACACTTATGGTTCTTTGAAGTTGGGTAAATAGTAAACAAGCCTGTTTTGCCATTACTACAGAGTCATGAATTCAATCTTCATTGAATTTCACATGCCACAAAATCTTCACCTATGCAGTCGCTTTACATGTCTTCTGCAATTGAAGTTGAGCTAGTAATGTTTATTGAAAACTCTAAAAACCATTGTGTAAAGTCAAGCCATAACAGATGTGGACATAAAAGCCATTAGTGACTATTTTTATTAAGCAACTGAGTAGAAATTCAAATAAAAGAATTTACTTTTCCAATATTCTTTAAAAAAACTAAATCTTTTGCTTTGAAATATTTGTCAGCAATATTAAAAAGAAAAGAAAATCTTCCCAATTATGTTAATCAAATCTCTCAGCCTAAACAAAAATTAAACACTACAAATTCTATAAGTATTTCAAAATATGCAATTTAAGCAATTTTTACAATTGTATACACTATATTTTGTGCATTAGTAATCAAGGACTTTTATCTAAATAGATAAGCTTTATTATAACATGTACAGAAGAATTTTCTTTTAAGTTGTTAAAAGTAAAAAATATTTAAAGAAAACTATCATGACCCATTCCACACAAAAATGACAGCCATATTGAAGTAATTTTGCAACTTCATTGATTATAGTTTCTGCATGAGTAATTTTAGATTTTTATCTCTATAATTATTGCTATTCTAAGCAGTTGGCCCTATACAACCGCTTTCTAAGATCAATGGTGAAAAAAGGCTTTGACTTTCTTGTGACTTTATTCATTTGGACCATTAAACCCTGACAGCATTATTTAATTTATTTTGCAGTTGCATTGGTTATGTTTTCTGTATTGGTAATCTAGGACTTTTATTAATGCATTTAAATCTACTGTCATTAAAAAGAATTCAGCATTTTAAATCATTAAAGGCAAAAAATATAAAAAAAACAAACTAACATGACCAATCAGTCAAGTGCCATTCGTGATACATGCTTAGGCGATCATGTCTCTTTTAATTCATGACAGACGAGGTAGAAGGTTTTCCCACAGTAGGCTACCATTTCTTTCTGCATTAGACTGGTTGCCAACCAAGGATTTAGGACCCAGTCTGTCCTGCTATTCAACCCATAGCTGGGAGGTGAAGAGATAGCTTCATACCTATTTGTAAATGGCTTCATAACCCTTCCCAAGGGTTTTTGTGAATGGAACAAACCCAACTGGAATTTGAACATGGCACTCCTATTTCTCATTTTGAGATGTGTACTATTTAAAAAAAAAAAATGACAGCCACTGAAGTAATTTTGCAATTACATCAGTTATATTTTCTGCTTGAGTAATCAAGGATTTTTAACAAAAACAGATAAACTGTTATCATATGTAAGGAAGGATTCTACTTTTTTAAGTTATTAAAAGTAAGAATATTTAAAGAACACTGACATGACCCATTTCATCAAAATGCAACAGCTATATTTAACTAATTTTGCAATTACATCAGTTATATTTTCTGCTTAAATAATCAAGGATTTTGATCTATACAATTAAATCTAGTATCACATGGAAGAAAGAATTCTACTTTTTAAATCCTACTATTTTTTTTTTAATCAGTTCACCCCAAGCAAGGCAATAAAACCACTAAGACACAAGGGGCTACCAGAAATGAAAGAAAAGTAAAAGACTTTAGAAGAAACCAGAAACCCAATTCTAAAGAGGAAACAAGGGATAAATCTCTACTCCTGTTCAAAAGACCAAGAAGGAATATGAGCCAGACCATAAGCACAATCTATCTCAAAAAAAAAAAAAGCTGATACAACTCATACTATCTAAAAATGGCATTAATGTTTAAGTAATTTTTCAGTTGTATTAGTTATATTTTCTGCATGAATAATCAAGGATTTTGATCTATACTGTCATCACATCTAAGGAATTCAGCCTTTCAAATCATTAAATGTAAACATAGCCAAAGCTAAAACAAAACAAAAAGATACTTACTAATAAGATATTCTGTTCTTATGCTAACATGAGTAATTGAATCAAATAATGCTTCCTGTTACCATAACAATGGAATGCCACATTAGAAAATAAGGGTGATCAGGCTGCATGCCTAATAAATATATAAAATCATATTGCTTTACATTAGAAACTAGATTTAAAAATTGGCCTCAGCTATGGCCTTTATACTTTTTGTTAAAAAAAGCCCATGTTTACCATTTAGATAATTTTAAATTATGTTCAAATTCCAACAACAAAATCAGTTAACATCTTATTTGCATCTCCAAGTTCTTCTCCTAGACTGACTACTAGCCAAGGCTATACAGTCCAATCTATCCTGCTATAACCATTGCTTTTGATGAAGGCAGCATGATGTTGGTGGGACCAGGGTTATAACCAAATTGATACCATCTTTTAATACAAGGTGTGATGAATAAATTGTCATCTAAATTACATAAAAATGAAAATAACACTGGCATCTCATTTTAACAGATATATTTACTAAAATTACACAAAAAAATTCTGAAATACTAAAGAGTAAATTTATTCAATTGCCATTGGCTTCAACCACAACCTCGGAATCTCCTGCAACTCTACTGGACCATCTCTTTCTTTAAGTTGTTGAATGCTGCCATAATCCTTGCTTTCAGTTCATCTTTGGTGTTACAAGAATTTGTTGGTTGGTCTCTTGCCCAACTGCACCTCACACATAATAATCAAGTGGGGTTGCAGTCTGGGGAGTTAGATAGCCAGATGTAAGGGGTGATGTGGTCACAGAAATTGTCTGACAGCCAGGATTGGGTTCCCCTGCTTGTGTGTCATGATGCAGAGTCCTGTTGCCAAACATAGGGTCTTCCAGCAGCCACCCTCTTGAGCCAGGGCAGCACTACCTCCTATTACGGCTCTTTGCAACTCACCACCCATACCCACACAAAATCTTACACTTAGCAATCCATCTCTCTTTGCCATCTCTCTAAAAATATGTGAACTCTCCCTCCCTCTCTCTTTTGGTATGTAATAGTAGTCACTAAAGGCAGAGACAATTAGATCAAATGAATGGTCACAACAACAGATGAAACTTGATGCTAAAAATAGATTCTAATACACATGATAAATCACATGACAACCGATTGAGTGGGAAAGATCAACAGAACTCAGTTGACGAGGAAACTTGAAGGAAACTCATTGTCTATTTAATTCTCATGTGAATACAAACAGATGCAGAGGGCTGAAAAATTCTTGGCCCAACTCACTGACCAAATATTAGAATATTAATTTTAGGAAGTCGCCCAGACCGAGAACTTTTCAGCACACACAAATACGTGTGTGTGTGTGTGTGTGTGTGTGTGTTTGCTTAAATAATAAATCATTAGTACCTTTTTTCTACTAAGATAGCATTTCTCATGAAGAAAGAAAAGAAGTGTGACTTTTGTAAAAAGGGTTTTAATATTTATTCTATATCTTTTCTTTACAATTTTCTTGTTCATGCTGAAATTCTCCCAGTTTTTTTGCTTTGAATTTAAGGTAAATCCTCTTCCTATTTTCAGAATGGCTTGAAAGCAAAAGATTTTATATCCATCTAGTAACACATTTCAATGAAATAGTTTTTCCATTAGTCATATTATTCAAACTTTGTCTGGATTCTACTTTTATATATATATATATATATATATATATATATATAAAACAAACTTTGTTAAATTCAACTAAGAAGGTCAGTTTATTTATTATATTTTTCCAATTTATATGTTGTATATCCAGATTAAAATTATGAATAAAGGTCCAAAGTGCAAGTTTTTTTTTCATGTTTTGTTCAAATACCCTATATATATATATATATATATATATAAAATGATAGGGTAAAGGAAAAATTGGAAACATAAATCTAACAGGTTTTACTCTTACTAAATCTTCCTCAGGGAATAAGAAAAGAAAGAAATATCTCATTCTCAGATGAAGCTTTAATAAAAGCGAAACATATTTGGTTTATAAACATTTTCTATCTGTTCTTTATCTGATAATTCTGTTGAATTCTGATCTATATTTGACTCCAGTTCATCATAATATATATATATATATATATATATATATATATATATATATATGCATGCACAATCTTATACATGTAGATATAGTTACTTACTGTATACAAAGAAAATGGTAGCTCCTGTGGCCGGAAAATTATATTTTTTCACATCCATATTTTGAACTGTGTAAAAGAAAAATTTAAATTTAAAAAAAAAAAAAAAAAAAAAAAAAGGAAGAAAAAATACAACAATGTAATTATTAATTTACTAGTAAGAAAAAATGAAAAAATGAATACTTTAATTTTTTACTGGACACTAAGATCACTTTCATCCATTCTCTTCCATTTACACAGGTTTCTCTCTGCCTTAAAATCTTAAGACTGAATCATACATTTCTAACATAGTAACAAAAGAACTTTCATGTGAATGGACAAGGTAATTAAGAAAGTAACAAAAAAGCAGAACACCACTGAAGAGATACAAAGACTCTCTGCAAAAGACCCAAAAGGATAGTGGAATGGTTTCCTGTTGTCTTCTCCACAATGACTTTATTGAGACACCACCTCTAGACACTTCTGAGTCCACATGTTCTTTGGTAAAATACATTAGAAACAGATCCAAGTCAGCAAATGATGAATGGCTCAACAAGAAGTGAACTAAGAGAGTAACACTACAGAACACAGATATAGCTAATATGTATAAAAAAAGATGAACAAAATAGCATTGTATTTTCATCTACTAATCTATCTAAGTTGTTTAATAATTTGGTCATCCTTATGATTCTCACCAAGGAAAATCAAGCAGAGATTACAGAGTTTGCTTTGACGAAGCAACATGTAGGCACTGGATTTATCAGGCAGACTCTATCACAGAGTCATACCATAAATACAGAGTTTCTGATGACTATCAAACCCTATACTGTAGACATTGTGAAAAAAAGCCTCAAAAAATCAACTGAAAGACTCCAAGAGATGTAAAAATTCTTCCAAATTTTTGTGAGGTGATGAAGTGGTGCTGAAAAGTTCTCAGCTAGATCTATTTCCAAAAATAAAACCAAATATCATCTATTATCTACATTCAAACTGGTGCCCTCATTTTTGTTGTTATTCTCACAATGTTTCTGCTGTTGGGCCCTCTGGTCTTCTTCAGGTTTTCCACAGAACAATAATCTAATAGATTAAAACATTGGTGACATAGTAATTTCAATCCTTTGGCTTGGTAGTGCAGACTTAGACTCAGCAGAATTTGACCAAGCTAAAATTGCAAAATACTAAATAAGAGATATTCCTAGACATGGTCAAAGGAACAAGAACTATCTACCCATGTAGATTAACTAAAAGGTTCAGTTAGAAATTTCCACAAAGTTATCATGATTGGCAAACACCCGGAGAAGGCCAGAAGGCACAACTGGTGAAATGTGATAACAACAACAAAGATGAGGACACTAGTCTGAATGTAAATAATGATAACTCCTTATACCAGATGGTAGACAATCAGGTGATAACAACAAAAATGAGGACATTAGTCTGAATGGTAACTCCTCATCCCAGAAACTGAGAGTGATATTAGATTTATTTTTGGGCATCACTTCTTGGTTAAGCCAATAACATTTCCACCATCCCACCCCCTTATGTTCCTCTACCCACTTGTCAAACCAAACAGTAATCATTTTCCTTTAATAAAATCTTTCTCTCCACAAGGCCTTCATTAGCTCATCAAGTGCATCAATTTATTTGAACATGTAATCAACTTGGCAGGAAGAAAAAAAAGGAAACGTCACACCTCATTTGTATTCAACAATGATTTAATAATCCTGAATGCAGCAGCCAGAATCACTTACCAGAAAGATGTATAGTATCTATGAGAATCCAAACAAAGTTTGCAGCAATGGTAAGATCTGAAATAGAAGCAAACAAACAAATCAAAGAGAATAATATTATGTCCACAATATTTTGTGTTATTTGCCTGTCACATGTAGAGTAGAAAATAATTTAAGAAAACAGGAGATGTTGGACTGGTGAATATTATAACGTAACAACTGTTGTTGGATTATCTTATGTTGGAATCAGTTTTTATTATATTTGAATCTGAGGCGAAAGGTATGTGAATTTGATTCTCACTGAGAGGTTATCAATTATTCCCAATCTGTGATATCAACCGATCTTTTGAATTGATGGTTTGAGTAAAGGTGTGTTAAAACACAAATCAAAATGAAGATAAAAGGGAATATCAGTCAAAAATTAGTAATAATGGTTGAAAATGTTTCATCTAATAACAAATGAAGATGAAAGTAAATACTAGTCAAAAATTATTAATAATGGTTGACAATTCTATCTAATAAAATTAGAAAAATGTAAAATTGTCACCATTTGTATAGAAATTAATAATGGTATATTTCATCTTGCACCAAAAACTCATTTTTGTATCCATGAAACTGTACCTTTAGTGTCTCTTATGAGCTTGTGAAGAAGATCAGATGGATTAATTTGGTCCTAAAGAGAAAAAGCAAAACAATTCAAGAGAAAGAAAAGGAATGTAACTAAATAAATATTTTTACTTACAAATGTAATATTCAAAACATTTGTGAGTCACCAATTTATACAAGCCTGAAAAATTAAAAAAATATTGAGCAACAATTAAAACTTGAATTTCAATTTAACTTCTGATTTCAGATACATGTTAACCTCTCTACTATCAAAATATAAAGCATTCCAATGAAACCTATCATCAGCAGAAATGTATATTAAGAAAAGGGGAGGTTGGTTAATCTAATGAACTATGAACATTGTTGGGTCATTAATTGTTGAATATTAAGCCCTATAGGACAAAAAGCAATACACACCAACAGCTTCAATGTTAGCCAAAAGATTAAACAGTAATGGTTTGACTTGCTGGAGAAAACAGCAACTGGTTCTAAGAATTGACTCACTGGGGAAAACGGCAATCGGTTATAAGATTAACCTGTTGGGGAAATTGGCAGCCAGTTATAAGATTGACTCACTGCCAATTCTCGGTTCTACTCACTAGGGAAAACAGTGGCCAGTTCTTGGCTCGACTCACAGGAGCAATCAGCAGTTAGGTCCATATTTGAGTCTGCAGCTATACACCCCAAAAATTGTTGTGGAGAGATCTTACCTCTCCGTCAGAGATGTAAATGGTATACTCTCAAATAGCAGCATCTTAATCGCTACTATAAATTTTCATCATCTTTTAAACTCTCATGTTATTTAGAGCAATAGAGAATGGAAGGTGTGGATAGCCATAAATGTCCTGGAGGAACATGGCACATAAAAAGAAAAAAACATATATGGGTAAAGAATAAATATTCCAAGTTAACAAGTAACAAAAGTGAATTCAACAAGTCTACAAACCTTTATTTTAATCCAGGAGAATTTATTCTGTAAATCCCATTTTTATATGTTTAAGAAAATTATTTTTATTTTAAAAAGCCATTACATAATATTTATTGTAAGCATAAACATAAAATGAAAATCAAAACATCACTGTAAAAGTTTTAACTTTCATATAGAATGTAGAATAATATTCTACAAAACTGCATTAAAATTTACATTTATTTATAAAATTTTATTATAAAAAATTTGGTATTATAAGTTTCTACTTCTAACCCACCAATGTCCACTAACCCATTTTCATGACCTGGGCATTAACAGATTAACCCCTTCAGCTTCCAAAGATTTCTTCATTTTTTTTTTTTTTTTTTTATATGATGCCAAGAACAGAAGAGAGGAATTTCCCCAGAGATTACATGACATTTCTGGAAAACCCATATTTATCATGGCAGTGTTCAGAGAACAACTTGAATACAAAGCAAAAATTTGGAGATGTTACAAAAAGGTTAACATCTTCCTGGTAATGAACATGTTAGGTTTTTTCCTAGTTTATATTAAAAAAAAGTCACAAATAAAATTCACAAGAACAATTTGAGTGGCACACTATACTTGAGGGGAAGAGGAACAAAACATAAAAGATAGGGATATTAGTTACTGGAAGTTATTATTCCTTTTTAATTAGTTAGAATTCTCTAAAGCATGTCTATAACAATGTAAAATATCAGAAATATTTTCACTAGAATCTTACACCTTTATTAGTCTATCATTCATCCATGCATTAAATATGCACTGCCACTGGTCTTGTGCTTCTGTGATGTATTTAGAGATTTAGACAAAATCCAAAAGAATAATCTGCCATGTTATTGGTCATGACCTGGCATCTCAGTTTCAGTCATATTCCTACTGCTGTAAGTAGCTTCCCTGTGTTTTTTCTATGAATATTTTCATGGTAGTTGTTCTGAAGAGATTTCCTCCTTCATATTTTATTGTGTTGCATTGAGGGAAATAATTAAAAAGATGTAGATTAAAATGCAAAATTTCAAAATCTTTATCGATGTTAGGTTCACTTCTTCTGTATTGACATTATAAAAAATCTTTAACCAATATATACGAGTTGGGATCAAATATACATCAAATATGAATCAAAATCTGACAGAATGATGCAAAAAAGAACAAGTAGAAAATGTTTATCAATCTAACATGTTTCACTTTTATTAAAGCTTCATCAGAGACTGAGATATGGAGAAAAAGAAGAAAAAAATTATGGTATTTTTACTTTTGTGATGTTTGATTTTCATTGATCAGTAATGTATCAACATGCATTGAACTTTTTAAAGTAACTTTAGTATATTTTGTGACGTTCTGAATTCAAGGAGAGATGATGCATCCATCTGAATTTTAAAGAAATTAACGGATTCCAAGCCTACCTGAAAAACCATATGTATATGTAAGTGTATAAAAATTCTAGTTTGTCTATGTGGGCATCAGATGATAATGTATATTCACAATTATGTGTGGGTCTAGTAGACATTATTTTTGTTGGTTTTTCACATGTTCATTTGGGAAATTTTTTTTTACATACATACCATAGATGAACGTATATTAGGTTCTTTAAGAATGGATTCAATAAAGGTTGGTGATGCAATATGTTTTTGCTTATGTACTTATAGTTGGTAATATTGTTATTAGTAGGCTCTCAAAGTACTTTCTCCTTAAAGAATTACATTGTTTTTCAATGAGGCTGGAATTAGTAAAATTAAAGTTATGACCAGTTTCCTGTGTATTATGAGAGAGTTTGAAACTAAAGTAAAAAATACCAGAATTTCTTTCTTTTTCTCCATATCTCACTTTCTGATGAAGCTTTGATAAAAGTGAAAAATGTTAGATTGACAAATGTTTCCTATTTGTTCTTTATCTTGTCATATATATATATATATATATATATATAGGTACAATGAGAACAATATAAAGTAAACTTCCATCGCTTGTAACATTTAATTTAAAAGGGGGCTCAATAAATAGTAGAGCAATATTATTTATTTTATGATATTACAACAAAAACATGTAAGAATCGCTACACAATTGCAGTCTTGTATCTATTATTCAATATATGTATTGAATAATATAGACATATTATGTCTATTTATTTTTATAACGATCTCTTCCAGTTCTCTAATCAGTTTTTGATGTCGAGATGAAATTCATCAAGGAAGGCGCCATAGTGTTTTCCTACCTAAGTATTTAGGATTTCCTCCAAGATCATCCTCATGCGTAAATTAAAAAGACAAACTTATTGTAACTGCAATAAAATCTGCATTCCATTGGTTAAAGAAATAACAAAACAAGTGTTGCAGATATATCATGTATGAAACAGTACAACAGAAGAGTATTACATGACTAGTGAGTGTGTGTTGGTCGACCCAGTGTTCACCACAAGGTCTTCTCTCCTACTAATCTTATAGTAGGCAGAAGAGTCCAACATAGACACTTTAGAGGGAGGACACCACAACACATTGAGATAATGCTTTTTAAAAACACGTATGAATGCTCTTTGTTATAATTATTTCAAAATTTTAAATTTATCCATTGTAGCTATGGAATTTTTTGTAAAACAAGTTTTTTAATATGAGGGAGCTGACTGGAAATTGGTAGCACAAAAAATGGTATTAGATATTTGTTATATGCACTTCAACAAATTGGTGCTACACTCGTAATAAATTTTGTTGAGTGTTGGTTGGTTGCTTTTGATATGTAAAGGGCCTCAAGACTTTGAAATTTTTGTTTATTATTTTTGTGGTGTCGTATATTGGTGTTGTCATCAAGTATTTTTCTGTATTGTAAAGGTGGACAGGAATGTGTTTTTAGATGTTGTGCAATAGAACTTGTTTATAACAAATGTCTACGGCGTCTTCTTTGATGAATTTCATCTTAACATCAAGAAACAGATTAGAGAACTGGAAAGGATGAGTATAAAAATGAACAGACATAATGTCTATATTATTCAATGAAACATGTTTGAATGAAGATATGCTGCCTATATATATATATAAATAAATGACCACCTCAACTGATATGGTTTATTTTGTATAAAAATCTAAATTGCAATTATCTACTGTGTATTACACTCTTTGTACGACATAGATAAAAGCTTACCTCTAAAGAAAATATTGAATGGTGGCCTGAAATCTGAAGACCAAATACTATCATCATTTTTAATCTGGAAAATAAAAGAAAAAAAGTATAAAAAAATACTTTTAGATTTTCATAACTGTCAAGGAATTGAAGTGAGTAAAAGATTTCTTTTGATGATGTATTCCCATTTTATGGGTTTACAATAATGTTTGACATATCATATACAAGGCCCAAGAGCCACTTCAGGTATAGGGTTACAGGGCTGAGGTGAATTTGATGAAAGGTTTTTATATCAAATAAAATTGCTGAAATTTAATTTTTTTTCTGGGAGTAAGGTCAGTGTTAATGGAAGCTAATTTCTTTCCCCTATAAAGGGCGATAACTCAAAATACAATTGAGTTACTTCCCTTCTGTGGAAGTCAAGCATGGCACTTCTGGATTAAAAATGGTGGCAAGCTGACACACACATGGAATTCATTGTTTCAATCAAAACAAATTCTTGCTATTCTTAGACAGTAAATGAATAAAAGTTGTTTTATTATGTGTTAAAATAAATTTGTCTTTTATTTTCATTTGCTTTTGTTTTTGCTTATTCCAATAGCCTGAGATAGAACAGGCAAAGTAATCATCTAATTATTTATGGCACTATTTCATATTTGTAACAGGTGAACAAATTGGTATATCTTTTTTAATTTCTTTCTTTGACTGAAACCAATATGCTTTTGTAAACACCATCAAACATTGAGGTTTATAACACTTGAATTAATAAGTTTGAGGTTTTATCAAGAGTAAAGAAAACAGTTTGAAAAGTTGAATTGAAAGTACAAAGAAAACTATGAATTTGTAAGCATCTGATACATGTCTGCATCTACATTGATAAACTTGGGAAATTTGTTGGCAAGCCGTGAGATTAAGTAAATGAGAGAAAGAACAAAAAAAGGTAATAATCAAGAAATGTAAAAGAATGCCTTGACTTAGAGCAGTTTTTCCCCAATCTGGATGATATCACCCACCAGCTGGCAATTTCAACTGATGGATGGGTGATGAGCAACTGAACAGAAAATGGTGGGTCATTGGAAATTTTGGAGGGTGATATAGGATTTTGTGTATTAAAAAGGTATTTCGTCTACCCCACAAAAAAATATTCCAAGGAGATATTCAAAGAATGTGCACAAAAAAAACAGGATGCAAATGGGAATAACTGGCACACATTCCTAGATAATATAGAAATATCCCCACAAACAAGGAATATTTTGGTATTTTCTATATAGTTTTTTAATGGTCAAAGTTGATTTTTTTTTTTTTTAATATGGTAGCAGCACCAGCAGCCACAATTATTTGTTTATCTCCCTTTAGTAATTTTACTACATCATAAAGATAGTTTATGAACCAGTAACAAACTTTTACTAAACAATTTTGGTATGTTTTTAAATATTTACTATACAGGTGGGTAGTGGAAAATTTTTCCATGTGAAAGTGGGCAATGACCCAAAAAAGTTTGAGAACTCTTGCCATAGAGCAATGTGCAACAAACTATTACTAATTATAATTGTTGGCCCCAATCTATTTACAAATGACTGCAAAAACATCCCCATACCCAAATTTACAGACAAATCATACAGATGCATGCTAAGATTTCTTCCTAAACAATAAAAATGACTGATATTCTGTTGTTAACTGGGGCAAAGAATGGCTTGTTAATTTTAATGCCTCCAAAATGAAACTGCTCTATATTAATCATCTGAAAGAACCAATTCTGCCTTCCATCAGCATGACTAATGCTAACCTCCAGTAGAGCAACTTGTTGTGCCTTCTCGGGCTAACGTTTTCTGCTGACATGAAGTGGAAATATTATACCAAATTAATTGCTAGGTCTGCTGCTAGGAAAGTAGCTTCTGTGTGTTGTGCTCGGCAATTTTTCTTGCCTGAATTGATCCTACATATTTACAAGTCTACTATTTATCCATGCTTAGAATATTGTTGCCACATATGGTCTGGTGCTCCTCTTATATATTTAGAGATTCTTGATAAAATCCAGATAAAAGGCTCTATCCTTGGACCTACACTGTTTCTAACCTTCATCAACAACCTTCCTGATGGAATCAGTTCCAAATTAAGTATTTATGCATATAACTATTTACTCCTGTCTTAGTAGCAAGTCCAACAGATTCGACAAAATAAAACTGGTAATTACTCTTGAAAAGGACCTCTAATTAGTAGTTAACTGGGGCAAGAAACGACTTGTAAATTTCCACACCTTTAAAAAAAACTGTTTCCACTTAATTTTCTGTCTGCTATCAGCATGGATTCCGTTAAACTATGTGATAGCAACAATTTGCACCTTATTGGGTAATGTTTTCTAGTTACATGAAAAGGAAGGATTATATTGAAACAATTGCTAGGTCTATTGCATGTTGGTTCAAAATGCTGTACTAGACAATTTTTCTCATCAGAATCCATCTTGCACATTTATAAATCTACTATTCAAGAATACTGCTGTCATATCTGGTCTGGTGCTTCTACTATATATCTTAAGATTCTCGATAAAATCCAAATGGAATCAAAATCCTGTTTGGGAATCTCAGCAGTCAATTTCCCACTGTCATAACATCATTTCTACAAATATTTTCATGGCAATTGTTCTAATGAGCTTTCCTCCTCAGTGCCTCAACTGAATGAATTTGTGTGTTACTAGATTGCAATTAGGTCTCACCATTTTACTGTTGAACTAGTTAGAATCAACAGTCTATTCCAAATTTTTTTTTTCCACTTCTTTCCTGTGGAACTCCCTTCAAATTTCTTGCTTCCCTGCCTCCTACAATCTTCATAAATTTAAAAGCAACGTAACCCACCATTGTCTTCCTGAATCCCATTTATTTATTGTACATTTCCTTATTTCTCCTCACTAAAATCTTCTCATTATCTTTCACTCCCTGTAACCCCCCTGCATCCTAGTAGCATTTTCACTTTGTCTAGAGTGAAATGTTTAAAAACAAAAAAAAAAAAAAAAAAGGATAATCAAAGGCTGATCACACCGTCTGCTTTGATCCACATATTTTGACCTAATGATTTACATAAATGGTTTAACGATCTGTGACCATTCTAGTGTTTCTCACTCAGAATATTGTAAGACTATTTTTTTTCTACCTATTCAACGACTGCATGTCTGACTTCAATAGAAACTACACAATGGCAGCTCACAGGAAAGTACCAGATGTGTTATACTTAAGCTATGCCACAGTTTGCATTTATTTACTTATTTATTATTTTATTTATTATTTGAAAAAAAAAAAATCAATCTTGTAAACAAACAAAACAAAATAGAAAAATAAAGGCAAATATTGAGTAAATTTTCCATTTTTTATTTTATAGCTTTATGAATTTCTAATAGCTTTCAAAATGGGCCCTTTGTCCCACAAATGGGGCTGAGAAATTCTTAAAATAGGTGTAAAAAGAGAAACTTCCATCTGAAGCTGAACCAAGTCTTAGAGGTTCAACTAGACTGATAAGCTAGACACCAGGAATATTGTAGTCATTAGTCAGGATTTATATTTTTTTACTACATTTTGCTTTTGTAAATAAAATGTATTTCCTGTTATATGGAATTTCTATTTCTGCTTTTGAGGGCCTGAAATTCTTTTAACATCAAAAATTGACTACTAGGAAGAAAAAGTTGAGAAACACTGAATTAAACCATCAATTTCTTATTATGATTAATATAATTTTGAAACTTACCCTCCATTTTAATTTGCAATACTGGTAGATGCTAATAAATTCTTCCAGGTTCAATAAGCCAGTTTTGCATATGTTCATACCTTTGAACAACAAGTAGACATCTTTACGACCTGAAGAAACAAAATTATGTAAGTTTGTAGTGTGAAAAGGACCAAAATTCACTCAATAGATTTCATTTTAGTCTCACAAAAATTTTTATACACTACATAGTAATTGTAAACAAGCATGTTGCATAAGCATAGTTTTTTTTTTTTAGTTTTTTTTACAATAATGTTTGCCCTGTACATCAACACCATAGATCATTTGGCACCGCATTGGGTAGTTTTAAGATTTGTTTTTAAATTCTTTTATAAGTCATTATTATCTAATGGTGTAGAGTACAAGGCCCAAGAGTCACTCAAGGTAGAAGAATACAGTGTAAGAGGCAGGCACAATTTTAGGGGTATATGGAGGGAAGATAATGGTTAACCCTAGGCATGAATAGGTTAAGTTTGTATTGATTGGGGAAGCATCCTCGTGGGAGCTGGTTCCACAAAGCAACGGCTCATGGGAAGAAGCTGCTCTAGTGGAACTTGCATCTCACCAATGGAATATGAAGGGAATGAGGGTGGTGTGCTACAATGTTTAATAACAAAAGTGATAAAAACAAAAAGAAAAGAATCTAAATGAAATCAGCTAGATTATACGCCCAAAATACATATGAAGAAAAATAAAAAATATAAATTATTTTTAAATTTAAGATTCCCAGCGTCTCTTGTTCATGCACGTGTGTAGTCACATCTACATAAAAAAATGTAGTCCTATGAAATCCTAAAAGATGAAACACATTATACAAAAACTTTTTCCACTTTAGAAAAATTCTTCTTGAAATATAAAAATTTATATATTGTTATTCTCTCTCTTTCTCTCTCTCTCTCTATATATATATATATATGCAGGTTGATTATTTAAAAACATTAATAATAAAAAATATAAATTAAGTTACCTCCCTTACATATTCTTAACATTAATTTTTAAATTGACTATAACAGAGTGCATTTCATGCACATTTACAAAAAAGATCCACAACTATCAATTACATTAATTTTTTGTCTTAGTAATTCACCCCTGAAGATGATCATGGATGAGATTGAAAGTACATGGGAAAATTAAAGAAATAACTAAAACTATGGCGTCTTTCTTACTCAATTTTATAACAACACTAAGAAATTGATCTGTGAATTTGACAGGATTAAAATAAGAAATAAATAGAGATATGTCTAGATTATTCAACCAAACAGCTTTGAATATATATATATATATATATATATATATATATATATATATATATATATATATAAAGAAAAATACTGAAAAAAAACAAAATTCTGAATATGCATTATTAATGTTAAAATAAAGTCGACGCTGGACATTTCGGGTCTATTTAAGACCATCTTCATGGACATTTTCATTTAAACATAATTAACATTATAACTTATAACAATTTAACACAAAAGACGATGGACATAAGAGCCCAACTAATTCAGACAGATAACTGAAATTTTATACAGATCAGCGTTCTGTTTAAATATGATCACGAAGTCGCCACGCATGGCGTTGTTAAGACGTATTCAAGATGATTTCCAAAATTAAAAAATATCAAAAAGTCGAATGAAAAATTTTTATAAACAATTAAAGAAATCTCTTCCGTTGATGTTGGAATACGTAGTGATCAATGGTTCTTATATCTTCAACAAGCTTGAAAGTCTTTCCCGTTACAATGCAAATCCAAAAGTGATTTTAAAAACGATGGAACAGTTCTAAAAAACAGTTCGATAAAAATTCCATTCTTTACTTGATCAATAGATTCCCTCGTCCAAGCTTGAAATCTTCCACGTTATAAAGTAAATTCATACTGTCGGATTTATATCCATATATTTGCTTACATACTGTCTACTGAAAATATACAAACCTGAATTTACAATTCTCAGAATTTTGTTTTTTTTTTCAGTATTTTTCTTTCATACTGTCGGATTTATATCCATATATTTGCTTACATATATATATATATATATATATATATATATATATACACACACACACACACTTTAAAAATCAGGAGGTCAAATGAACCCACTACCTTGGTTTCAACCTCATGGTATCCTCAGGCAATTTTTATCAAATCATCACCAAACACATTTTTATTTTTTTAAAAAACTAAAGACATTATTGTTTTCAAAAATAAATAAACAAGCACATGACATTGGGTGTAATAGAAAGGAAGGAGGAGGAGGAGGATGTGAAGAAAGAAAAAAAGGAGGGGGAAGAGAAGAAAAGAAAGTGTATTGCAAATGTATTGGTGGTGGGGGTTAATATATATATATATATATATATATATCAAACAAACACACACTACTTACTTTTATTTGGTCTGTAATATTTCATCATCCCCATAAAATGTTTAAATTCAATATACATAGGTTTCTGTAGACAAAAAAAAATATTTTTTTTTAATTCAAATGACAAGAAATGAACATTTACTAAAACGTATTTATTAATGTAATGCCCAAATACTATCACATTGTGAAAAGAAAAATTTTTCTATGGACAAGAAACACCTTTTAAAATTTATTTTAAAAAATTAAAAAAAAAAAAAAGAAAAAGCAAAAATAAAAGTTTATCATCCAGTTCTTATTTTCATTTAGTATTACTTGTGTGTTTCCACTGAGTGCAAGTACACAATGCTCATCTCAGGGGTTGAACTCACAATCACTACGTCACCAAAATAACCAAACCAACACTTTAATACACTAAGCCATTGTTCCATAGGAGAATTTGGTATAGTGAAATTGGAGCCTTAAACCTAGCCTGCCTGCTGATAAAAGTTGCAACTGCTGTCCATGCTTTGATTGCTATGATTGAAGACTTGCTTGTGAGGAAGGCCAGAGAGCACAAGGATTGAAATGTGATAACAACAACAAAGGTGAGGACAATAGTTCAAATATACATAGTGTAAATAGTGATAGTCCTTCATCCTAGAAATTCAGACTGAAATAATTACAAGTTCTATAAATATGAAGTGACTTGGCACAGAGATTAATGGCCTCAGTGATGGTTTTTAAGCAAGTTATTCTAAACTAAATAAAGAAGCCGAGGAAGAGAAAAGACATTTTAAAATGTAAACAGAGATAATTATAAGAGGAAAGTTAAAAAAAAACAAAAAAAAACACAAAACTCACAGATTTGCTAACAAGTAATCGGAATGCATGCTGACACCCAATTCTTTTGTGAAAGAAGAGTTTACGAACTTTCTCTTTCTCCAGAGATGAAAAAGTATCGTACACCACAGCCAGAAGCTTTAAAAAAATGGAAATAGAACAAAGAAACATAAGCATATGGAATTCTGTAGACAATTCTGCAATTCCTCATGAAAGGAGACAATGCAAAGTAGCAAAAATATACATGAATGAAAAAAAAAAAAATTTAGCAAAATTAAAAAAAAAAAAAAAAAAATGCAATCAAATTATATAGTGAAAAATTGACAATGATAAACAATGAATTCAATTAATTGGGATTCAAGGTTTGTACATAAATTTTTTTTTTTTTTTTTTAAGCATTACACCCTGAGCAAGGCGTGAAGCCACTAGGATGCAGGGGGTTGCAGAAGATTTAGAGCAAGAGCAGATAGGAGTGATAGAAGAAAGGATGAGGAGAGGGATAGTGGATAGATCAAGGTAACTGGAGATGTCGATTGACATTACATTTGAATATTTGGAGATTATAGCTCTCAGGGAAACAGTAATAGGGAAGGGTGTTCCACAGGCGAGAGGTGCGAGGTATGAAGCTATTGGAGTAGAAGAGACGGCTACATTTAAAAGTTTCTACAGTGTAACAATGTTTATACAGTATGTGATCTAGTCTGGTCTGGTGCTTCTGCTATGTATTTAGATATTCTTGATAAAATCCAAACAATTTGCAATGTTATTAGTCTTGACCTAGCATCTAAACTTCACTTTACCACCATCATAGCATAACTTCCCTGTGAATATTTCTACAAATATTTTCATGGTAATTGTTCCAATGGAATTTCTTCTTTGGCATCTCAACTTTACTTTGAGCGCAGTACTAGATTGGCAGATAGGCCTCATCATCCTATAGTCAAAATTGCAAGATGTAAGCATAAGTTCTCTGCTAACAGTTTTTTCTCTTGAACTACTCACTCTCTTCCCACTTCTTGCTTTTCAAAAATTTACATGCAACGTCAAATATGATCTTCTGAATCCTGTTCTTTTTTATTGTCATCTCTCTTCAATATTGTTTTTTTTTTTTTCCACATATTTTTTCACACTCGGTAACCCCTTGCTCTGAGTGGCTTCATTGCCTTTTCTAGGGATTAAATGATATATATATATATATATATATATATATATATATATATATATATAATACTATTAACAAGAAAATTTCAGTAACTGATAATCTGGAGTCAATTTTCAAAATAGTAACCAGTGAGGTTAAATAGGTTACTAATATCAAACTGAATTGATTTTTTTATGGTTTATCAACCTGTTGTGGGTTATTTAAAACCAAAATATATTTTGGATTGTAAGATTTTTTTTTTTTATGCATGAATATTGCATAACCAATTTTTTTTTTTAGAATAATTGATTTTTTTCAGATTTAAGTCAAATATGACATAATCAAAATAATCCACACTACTTCAAACAAAAAGATAGGAAGGAAAGCTCCCACTAATACTGGAAAAAGCAATAACAGCTACTGGACTTGAGAAACCCATTTTCCTGAAAAAATGTTTTAAGAGAAAGATTTTATAAATTTCAAACCTTAGTTGTACAAGTTCCTCAACCAATGAATGGCAAATGCTAAACATCTAATATTATCATTACCATAAACTCATAGCTGGTGGGGGAGCAGGGGTGAAAAGATGGATTCATAGTTTTCTGCAAGGTTATTTGTGCATAAATGAATGTAACAAACCCAACTGAAATTCAAACTTTTACTCTCCAATTTCTCATTCCAAGCCACTATTACCTGCATATACTCTCCACCTAATGACATACGAGAGAAGGTATATTAATAACGGGGTGATAAGCTTTTGCAATATGAGGTGAAAGATAAAACATCAGACAAACAACTAATATTTTGTAATCTAACATGAATTATAAATAAATTATTTCATCGTAATTTGGGTGTTTCAAAAGTGTGTCACATTCAAAGAACTCTTATATCATGAACTAGCAATGGTAGCATGATTTAACTGATACCATTTAAAAACTAAAGGCATCAAGTTTTCTTCTGTTAATTTAATTCTAATTAATTAATTAAATTTAAGTTAGACAGTATCCAAACACCACTCTGCCTGACAGATGGGTCGGACGTTCTGGACAGACTGATCACATGTCCCTGTGATGGCCACCTAGGTCTCCAGACTTCATGCCACGTGACTTCTTTCTCTGGGGGTATGTGAAAGGCCTCGTGTATGTACTGCTCCTTCCCAGAGGTGTGGATGATTTGAAGATATGAATAACTGAAGCTTTGGGAACCATTGACAACATGAGTGGTTACATTTGGCAAGAACTGGATTATCGTTTGGATGCATGTCATGTAACCCACAGCACTCACATTGGACATATGGAAATATTAGCATTCAGGAAATATAAATTGTGTTTTGATAACTGTGTATATATCATATGGATCAAAAAATGTGCTTTATATAATATTAAAACATTTTAGAATCTTGGGAAAAGTATAAATCCAGCTCTTCTCTCTCCAGCTATGGGTTAATTAGTAAAATTTCTATCATTAAACCATTATTATCAAAAAAAAATTTTTTAAATTGCGATCTGGAAGTGTCTTCTGACTTTAAATAAACTGAAAAGGTTTGATAAGCTGTAGAAAATGAATCAACCAATCAAAAACATTTTAGACAAAAATGTTATTTTCAAATAACATTGGAGGCATTGGTTTTGGCGACAACTATCATTTAGATATTAAAATTGTCTAGTGTACACCTACCAATGTTTAAAAAAAATATATACAAACAATACAAATTCATAAAAAATAAAATAAAATACATAATACACAAACAAAACTTATATAAAGGGGGGTGATGAAAAGTTCTCAGTCTAACTGAGAAGTCCAACAAAAGAATAAAATAAATTTTTAAAAAATTCTGAAAATTATCAGATTATGAGAAATGAGGCAGGCTGAGAAATTTTCAGCACCCGACATAATATTAAATTTGACAACTCTTCTCGCTTGGCTATAACAGGGAGAGAAGCTTTTATAGCAATGTGAAAGATAAAGAAAGCAGATAAACAGACAATATTGATAAAATAAAAACTTATAAATAAACTTTGTCAGAGTTATTTTAAAATATGTAAGACTGCCAAAAAGTCATTTTAGGCAATACTAATCTGCTTGGTACTGTTGGTTATGAGACCTAGTTTGGGGAATCTACACCTTTCACAAAGTAGTACATTACTAATAATTTTAGATGATCATGTGACAGGTGTTAAAACTATTGAAATATAGTGCTACCTAATTGCAGGAGCATTCAGGTGCTCACGGACTGAAATCATGTGAAACATTTGGGCACTTCCAGCCTTTAAAGGTTAAAACAACACTGGAGGCACTGGATTAGATATGAATTGTCATTTACATATTAGAAGTTTCTGGTTTACGCCTACCAAGATTAAAAAAAAATTAGAAAAAAAAAAAAAAAAAAAGACACAAATCTTATGAGGGGAGGACTGAAAAGTTCTCTACTTGACCCAGAAAAAAAAAAGAAAAATTAGGAATTCTATTTGATTAGGTTTTGTTAAGTGGAACAGACAAAGAACTTTTCAGCACCCCTTGTATTATTAAATTTGACAAATCTTTCTTACATATATATAAGTCTACCATTCATCTTTACTTTAAATATTGCTGCCACATCTGGTCTGGTGCTCCTGCTATATATTTAGAGATTCTTGATAATATCCAAAGAATCTGCAATGTTATTGGTCCTGATTGGCACCTTGCCTTTAGTTGCTTTCCTGCCACTGTAATGTAGCTTTCCCTGTATCTTTTCTATAAATAGTTTCATGGTAATTGTTCTGATGAACTTTCTACCATGGTACCTAGACTTTATGAAGTTAACTGCAGTACTAGATTGGTGGCAAGGTCTCATCATTTTACATTTGTTATGGCTAGATGTAACCGTAAGTTCTATGCTAACAGTTTCCTCTATGACACTACTCACTTGTGGAACTCTTTTCCAGCTTCTTGCTTTCCAGCAAACTTTGATTTTCAAAAATTTAAATGCAATGTCAATCATTATCTACTATCTTCTTAATTCTTATTCTTTTATTGTTCTATCTCCTTAATTATTATTTTTCTCAAATTCTCTAACACTCAGTAACCACTTGCATCTTAGTGGCTTTATTGCCTTGCTTGGGGTGAAATGAATATGAAGATTTTAGTAACAGACTAACAAGAAAAAGCTTAATAGATTGGCCAAAATGAAAATGGTTAATTGTATAAAGGTAAGTATGAATAAGTAGTGTTATATATACATACCAGATTCATGAGGAAAAAAAGCTCCAAGCTGAGGTAAATGATGAAGAAAGCAGCATAGTAGCGAGATTCATTATATGCTGGCATCATAACATCAGGGTAACTAGCAAGGGGGCAGATTGTAAAGATTGAATTAAGGTTAAAAAAGATTAAATTTACAATGATCACAACACACAAACAATTCAATCACGAAAAGTCAATTAGTATATCAACAAGAATATTTAAGTATTTTAATTGTATTAACACCTCCGCTGTTTATGTCTTTAAGAAACTTATATTGCCTACTGTCAACATAGAACAGCTGGCTGCTTGTATCTGGGTATGCCTGTCCACTATGGCGGTGAGCTAATCCTTGTTGCAGACACCTGCTCAGGCACATCTGTGCTTGTTCAACACCCACAGAGCCCACCTGTAGTTTATACTGCAACTATGCAGACCTTAATTATAGTTTCTGGGGGAAGCACATTTTTTGGCATGATCAACAATCTGAACAAAGCCAGCAGATTCAAACCCTCAGTTACGATGACTTGTGACTTTGTGTTAGCATAACCACTGACAGATCCAAAATGGTTCTGTCTATCCAATTTCACTCACAAAGCTTGGGTCAACTTGTGGTTTAGTTTTCAGCCACTTTCCAAAGATGCTGCAAATTGGGATCACTTTCCCAGACCAATAACATCTTCCTGACAAATAGACTATGGTGAGATTCGAACTTGGATCTCATAATTGGAAAGTGAACGTTCTAAGCCCTCAACTACATGCCCATATGCCAACATATATATATATATTATATATATATATATATTATATATATTCAAAATAATATTTATACAGGATGCAGCAGAAACACCTCTCACATGTTAAACTGTCACCTTTATGGTACTAGTTGGTTGGTTGTTTGTGTTTAGCAGCATATCAACCTCTATGGATTATTTAATGCTGAAATCTAAATATTTTGTGTGCAATTTTGTTTTTTTAATAATGGTTTTCATAATACAAGTCTTACTAATTAACCCATAACAAAGAGAGAAAAGGTGGATTCATACCTTTCCCAAATGTATTTGTACATCAGTGAATATAACGAACCCAATGGGAATTGGAACTCAGCTCTCTGATTAAAAATTCTGACTATTATCTATTACACCACCTGCACATTCAAGTTTATGCCACCTGATATTCCCAAGCAGTCACTCATCTAGGTACCAGGTTCATGTTGCTTAACTTTCATGATCATATGTGAACCAGTGTTTCAACATGTGGCCATGAGCTCATATGATGCTAGAGAATTTAGGCAAGTGGCAAATGTTTTAACATTTTTTTCAGATACCATCAATTACCATCATGGCTTGGACCAGTGCACACCATGCATTTGCTGCTGAAGCATTTAAGACTGGCGCATATGTAATTGCAACACAGAGTGTTTTTCCCGCTCACTTCATGTTACGTTGGAATGATGCTGTTCTGAATAGAAAATCTATCCTACTATGAGGTGAAAATTTCAAGGCCCTTAAAAGAAAGCCATTTGGAAAACCTGAAAGTGCTGTAAACGTGATGGAAAACTTTAGAAAATTTTCTACAACAGTGTATGGCGAATAAAGGCCACCATCTGGAGGATGTCATTTTTTAAACCAAATGAATAAAATCTGTACCATTTTGTTTAAACAACAGTGAAATAAATAAATAAATAAATTCTTTTTAATAGCAGTTACCATGATCTTTTTGTCAACCTTTAAAATGTGGGAAGTATTTCTGCTGCAGCCTGCATATATTTATGTAATTAACATTGCTGCTATTGACAAACATATTTTCAAGATATACTTTTTTGATAACATGGACAGCCACGTACAAAGGGGAGAGGTGGTTTTATCTTGAGCTCAAGTGTTTCTGTTTGATAGACCAGTGGATGATTCCCTTTGAAGTCTTCTAGGCAGCATCCACTTTGACTGAAGTGTAACACAGAGGTAAAACAGTGGATGAGGGTTTTTTGAAGATCAAGTGGCAACAAAACTGGAAATAGGGTATATCCCAAAGCCAGTTTATATTAACAGTCATGTTTGGAATCAGTTCTTGCCCACCCTGAGTGGCAGACATTTTTGCCCATTGTGTGATTCCTGTGCTATCCATTCGTATTGCCAGCCACTATCGTTGGGATTAGTAGATGGGTGGGGAACTGACATGGCAATTGTCTTTCATCATGTTACCTTGTTAGCATGCAGCAGACCCTTACCCAGCACACTGACAAGATGGAGAATGAAAATGCAATGTGGGGGTAATCATTGGTCAGTCAGTTGGGTGAGAGTCACATTGTATGTTTACACTTATACACATTTGAAAATTTTATATTGATTGCTGTCAACATATGTTTTCAAGATATTATGTACTGTCAGTTGCTAGTATTTGTGCTAACATGTTTAGTGCTATTTCCAAACTATCATAGACATATAGTAGTGCACAATACAACTGGTTTTGTGATATACTGCACATTGGGGTGGGGGTGTCATTTAGCTTAGCATGTACTGCAGAGTATCCAGTCAAAACCAAAATGGCAGCACCCATTAAAAACTGCCATTTATTTTTAGCAAATAGCAATTTCCTATTTTTCCTCTAAATGGACCATCACATCCAGGCAACAATTCTGTAACTTCTGCTTTGAGCAGTATAGAGTAATATCTTATTTCCATAGCAACAGAATATCTAATGACTTCTTGAGAAGATACAATCCGAGAAAATAGCTTCACTTCAACAGATACACACTATCTGCCGGGACCATATATAGCCATTTTTGAACATCTTGAGAAGCTTAGACATAAGTTGGCAGTCAACCAAAGGGAACATGCATGAACAGATACTATCCTATGAGAATAATCAGTTGGCAGTTAAGACAACACTGAGTGGGGTTGTGTACAATGAGTAACCATCACAATGAAAATAACTCAATAAATATATTTTTCATATCTTGAACAAGATTTTTTAATAAATCTTCACCTCACTCAGGTCTGTCAATGCAACAATTTGAAAGAGATTTCATGCAGTGGACGAGATTATGGAGAGTACAATAAAGCAGCTTCATAGTAATCCTGATTGAGGCCTTTTCAGAATTTTCTTTTTTTTTTTAATGGAACAGATATGAGAACCCAACAGAGATGTAGACACCATTGTCCTCAGTAGGATATTTCCTTTTTTTCAAATGGCAAGATCATTTCCAGACAGACAGTGTACATTAGCCCCTTCCGTGCCAATTATTTTGGGAAAAATGTTTCATTTTCAGACAAATTATTTTATTTGTTTTTAATATAGTAACTAAGAAACTGAGGCACCTTGAAGCATTCAAGTGGGGATTAACACCTCTACCAGACGTATGAGTTGACAATTGGATTCGTTTCTTGCTCAGAAGAGCATAAAAAGAACCAAGTTTGCCATATAAACATGCCTGTAGTTGTTTTTTGAGCATTATGTTTTGGACATGTTTATTTGTCTGTATCTGGGAAAGACACTTTCAGTAAAAATGTATATATACATCTATGCCAGTGAAGGGGTTAATTATTCTTAACCCAGTTTTAGCTTTTAGTAATTAATTTCATAAGGGAAAAAAAGACTTACTGAATTTTGTTAAAGTTACTTTTTTTTTTTTTTTACAAAGGGAATTTTTATATTAAAAAATGTTTATCCTTATAAAAAAAAAAAAAATTAAACAATTGTTAATTTCATTTTTTATAAGAAATAACAAAACTGCTTTCATGGATAATATATTCTAGCAAAAAAATAAATAAATAAATAAAACAATAATATTTCAGATGGACTGGATAATGATAAACCACCAAGAATATGTTTTTTTTTACCAATTTTTCCTCGATGCTTTATGATTAGAAAATGAAAAAGGCAACAGGAACATTTTCTTAAAAAGCACAATATCAATTTATGAAACTACTTACTTAGCAGTCGTCATTAAGACAAAAAGACTGACAAAACTGTCCTGGATTGTATGAAAATACTGAAAGAGAAATCAAAGTATTATTAACCCTTTTGAAGCCACTCAATGGGTATTTCAAAAACACCTACCAACCGATTATTAATCAAGTTTTTAAAATAATGCATTTAGCAAAAATGGAAATCAAAATACAGCTATCACTTTAGAAAACTGAAAACAATAACTAGAATACAGATTTTCTGGAAGGAAATTGCATCAACAATATACCAAGGCCTGGAATGACCAGTGACAATTTTAAATAGTTTTCTCCAAATTAAAAAATGCAATGGTTATGTTTTTGAAATCTCTAATAGAAACAAAAACATGAAGCAACAATCATTAGGTAAGCCATACTTCCTTAATAAATTTAACTAAAATGTTAAAAATAGCCATATAGTATTCATTTATCATTTTTCCATTGATACTGTAAGAAAAAAAGTAATTCCTGTTCTAATTAAATTTTATAACTCTTATTCCGAATTCTTTGGAACTTTTAAGCCATAAACCCTGAAATGCCTAGATCAGAGGAAGATATTTGTGGAGTTACCATTTCTTCTCCTACCCATAATCGCTTTTCAAAATGGCTGCCCCTCTGGACAAATATAGAAAGCTAACAGCCATCATGGAATATCTGATTTTGCAAATATTCATGTTGTGTAGTCCTCCAGTCTGTGGCTTAGAAGTATTTCACCCTGTGCCGACTGATGACCAATTTAGGGTAAGTCTATTTTGCATATCTCACTACACCATTGAGAAACAAAGAGATCTTATGCACTTCGTTGATTTTTGACTATTCATAACTATAGCATGAGATCTTATTTCTCTCTCTTGAGGTGTGTAGCTGGTTCTTTTTATTGAGGATCTAGGTCTGAACTCATCTTCATTCTCCATGGCAGATTTGTGTGTATAATCCTTCATAGATTCTTTCCAACTGTGTTTGCTTTCACATTTTGAAACACTCATCCTTTTATTCCCATTCAGCTTCTTCCTTGTTTTTTACTTCTTCCATCTCAACTTTTGCATTGTCAGTTCTAAGTCTTATTTGATCAGAGTGAGCCAGTAAATTCTGCTCATTTGTTGCTGTTATTGCTGTATTATGCTACTTTTGTATAATAAAGTTTGCTTTTTTGGGACTCGATTCTGTCTTTATAGTTCCAGATGTTTTTGTTTGTTGAATAGGACATTGTTATAGGAGATCTAAGTTGTATTCCCATCAATGCAGAGGGACTTTGCATTCTACCTGCAGGTGGAATGGTTCTATAACTTAGTAATAGTCTCAGTAGGTAGCTATCAGTGGTATCCTTGGATGGAGAAAATGCCTTCAACTTCATTTTCACCATCTGCACCATTTATTCTGCAATTCCATTCAATTGCAGTTGGTATGGTAATTTTTTTTATAAGGGTGGCATATAATTTGTTTTAACCACGTTTCATCATAAAATTCTGGTGCATTGTCAGAGACTAACGTTTTTAGCACCCCATTTCTGGAAAATATTACTCATAATATTTGCTTCACTATGGCTGTCTTTCTCTCCTGAATCCTAACAACTTCAGGTCACCCAGAGAATGAGTCAACCAAAATGGACCTATGCCTTTAATATGCAGATGATCCATATGAATGTGGGCCCATGACTCTTTTTCTTTAGGCCATGAATGTATTGATGAAAGTTTTTTTTTTTTTTTTTATTTCTCTACATTTTGGACATTTTTGTACATATTTTTGTACATCAAGTGAAATCCCAGGCCACCATGCTTCCAATTTTAATTGTCTCTGTGTTGCTGCTATTCCATGATGAATATCAACATGTACACTTTTTATTAATTCTTTTCTTGATATCTCTAGTGGTATTAAAACCTCTCCATTGCATATCAGACCCTTTTCTATAGGGAACCTGTGCTTTATCTCTTTATAGAATCTCTCTGCCCAATAACAGTCACTCCATTTGTTACTTTTTATTCTATATGCAATTTTACTTAATAGTGGATCTTGTAAGGTTTCAAATGCAAGACAATTTTGGGGTAATACATCAATTTCAATCTAGTGCAGTATTTTATCTTCTGAATTGTCTGATCTTTCTAATGTTTCATTGCTGAATTTTAGTCTTGATAGAGCATCTATATGTAGAATAGTATTTCCTTTCATATATTTGATGTTGAAGTCAAAGGCCATGAGCTTTATAGCCCATCTTAAAATTCTAGATGTAACTTCAACTCCTTCCTGGGCTTAAAAGTAAACTCTAATAAAAAGAGAAACTTCCTGTCTAATAAAAACTGGCAAACTCCATCTGTGCTCCATACAATAGCTAATGCTTGTTTTTCAATATTTGAATAGTTAGCTTCGGCTGATGTTAATCTTCTAGAAAGGTACATTATAGGGTGACCATCTTCAGACAAAATTGCTGATACAGCACATTCACTTGCATCTAAAGTTAAAGATCACTTCCATTTTAGAGTCAAAAATCTTTACAAAGGATTTTTTTTATAAGTGCTTTCTTTAAATTTTCAAATGCTATATTCTGCCACTGAGTTCATTTAAATTTTCAGTTCTTTTTATGTACATCAACAAAAGGGCCTATTAATTCACCATATTTTGGCAAATATCTGCCATAAAAATTGGCTAACCTGAAAAAAGATTCCAATTCTTTTTTATTTGTAGGTGTAGATACCTCTGATATTTCCTTCATTGTGTCATATTATTGTATTAACATCTTTAAATTTTTTTATTAAATTCTATCTGGTTATACATAGATTTGAGGTCAATTTTGGCAAAGTGTTTCATTCCCAACACATGAATAACAGTTTTAATGTTAGGAATAGAGAACGACTCAGAGCATATTTTGTGGTTTAAACCTATTTTGTAATCCTCACATATCCTTAAATCTCCATCCCATAATCATAAGACAAGGGTTAAGGCCCAACTACTACCATCAGAGGAGCCATGCTCTAAAATTCCTTTCTCCACCATTGCTTTTAGTTTAGCAACTACTAAAGGTAGAATGTGACAGGGCAGTCTGCAAGATTCAAAGTAAGAGGGTTGACTATTTTCCTTTAATTGTTAATGTTCACTTTGTAACCTTTTAGTATTCCTGTTTCATCTCTTTCCGATTTTACTGTTGATTAATTTTGTGGTATTAACTTTTAAGACATCGATTCCCATATTCTTTTTTGCATTCTGCTACTGTAATGAAGTGTTGTTGCTCAAAAAATTCCTTCAAAACAGTGTAAGATTTTGGTGAAAGAACCATTAAACTTTTTGGCTCAGATAAATTTTCCTTAATTTGGGTTTGCCCATTTGTTCCCAGAAATTTATTGGGATTAGAGTGACATCACTCCCAGTATCTACTTGCAAAGGAAAAGTTATATCATTTAATTAAAATTTTTTCTCTGGCATTTTTATGTCTTTTGTATCATACATACATCTGTATTTTCTGAGGAGGGTTTAAATTTTCCACCCTTTCTATATTTTTTTTTATATTTACAAATGGAATGGAATGATTTTTCTTCTCACAATTCCAGGATATTTGTCCTAAAGTTAGACATTTTTTTTTGTAAATGTGCATGAAATGCACTTTGTTATAATTATAAATGCACTCCGTTTTAGTCAATTTAAAAATTAACTGTTTAATTTAATTAATATTTTTGTTATAAATTAAGTTATCCCCCTTAGATGCATATTATTCTTAACAGTTAATTTTTAAATTGACTATAATGGAACACATTCATATGTGCCCATAATTATAACAGAGAGCATTTACAAAAAAATTCGCAAATATGATTTACATTAATTTTTTTGTCTGAGCAATCCACCCTTGAAAATGATCTTGGATGAGATTGAAAGGACTTGGGAAAATAAAAGAAATGAAAATAACAAGAATTTCTTCATTAATGAGTTTACTAACAACATTAAGAAATTGATCCATAAATTTGTGAGGGTTTAAATAAAAATAGACATATGTCCAAATTATTCAACCAAACATGCTTGAAAATATATATATATATATATATATAATAATAATAATAATAATGACACTTACTGTGTAACCTTTGATGTCTGAAAACAAATAGAAACCTGCAAAATAAATAGATAAATAAGAGTTTATTTTATGCCAGAACATAGTACATTTTTGTCCACAACTGGGCTAGTCCAAGCCTACACTGTTAGGTGGATGGGTAAAATATATATTATTTGCTTCAGGGAGATCTTAAAAGCAATTCCAACAATCTTCTTTCTCTCATTTAATAAACTTGGGAAAGGCATGAATCTATCTTCTCCCCTCAGCTATAGGCTAAATAGCAGAACAGACAGAGCACTCTAGCCTAGGATGACAGCCAGTCTAGGAGAAGGCCAACTCTGAATTCAAAACTTCAGAATACAAGTGGTCACGGTTCTCCACAGCTTTCACTTCTTTGATATCTGTGAATAGGCATAAGATCTTGAGAAAGATAATAAAACGGTTCCCTGCTGTTTTTTCCAGTTTTGAATTCAGAGTTTTCCTCTTTCTCCCAGACTGGTTGCCCTACCAAGGCTAGAGTACACTGGGGGTTCATCAAATCTTAAAAAGAAAAAAATGCAGAAATCCAAATCAGTTTAAAAAAGTAAAAGTGGGAGGAAAAGAAAGAATAAAGAGAAAAAAAGGAAAGCTAGAAAAAAGGAAAGAATAAGGAGAAAAAAGAAAGCAAGAGAAAAGGAGAGAGTGAAGAAAAAGAGAAAAAAGAAAAGAAAAAGAAAAAGAGAGAAGAGAAAAAAAAGAGAAGAGAAAAAAGAACAAAAAGCAAACAAATGTCCACTTCACAAGAACTGACTTCATCACTAAAATATCTTGTATCCTGTTTTGATCTCAACCACATCCTGTTCTAATGGTACTTATGAAAAATATCTTTTCTTTTTTTAAATTAGCTCCACTAGACAAGGATTTTAATGAGACAAAATATCAAACAAGATTTATTCTTGTGACTGCAAAAAAAAAAAAAAAAAATGGTGTATAAAAATTAGTTTTTTTTTTTTACCAAATATTAGTTTTTATACGTGTTGACAAAAAACCTAATAACAGCTATGTTTAAGTCTTTAATATTTGGTAAATGCAATATAATTGCAGAATTACCACTCACTTAACTGAAAGCTAAAAACACAGTTAAAAATAATGTAAGACAGAAATAAATTATGGTATTTTGTCAAGTTTAAAATAAAATAAAATTTTATTTTCTGTTATTTTAAATTATTTTCTATTTTCATTTTAACATATAAAGAATCTATAACTGAGACATCTGAAAGAGGCATGGCATGTGGAACTAGAACAATTTACCCCGGTGGATGAAATAAAGGGTTCAGTTCAAAATTCCAATCACCTGAAGAAGGCTGGAGCATACAACAGATGAAACATAAGGATGAGGACAACACAAATAATGTAAATAATCTAAATTAAAATACCTCATCTCAGAAATATATAGACAGATATGTAAAGAATCTAGTGTAAAGATTCAAGTAAACTGTCTGGATACTTCTACTCATGCAATATATATATATATATATATATATATCTCCAAATGTAAAAGAACGAAAAGAATAAAATTCAAATGTTCATAACATCAGTTTAAAAAAAGGGGTTCAATACAAGAGTAGAGTAATAAATATTTATTATAAACGGTTACATTAGAACATGCAATTTACTACTACAAAACTATATATTTTGTTTTGACATTTAACACACCTCATCAGGTAGTTAACAATGATGGTAATAAACGATTTTAGTTTAAATTACAATTTATGAAACATCACTTCTTTTTACATTTTTAGAAAATTTTCCATAAAAGGCAAAAAAAATTTTAAAAAGTAAAAAAAAGAAAAGAAGAAATCAATAAAAAGAAAAGGAAGAGGAAAGTAAAGAAAAGTATAATAAATCAACCCTACTAACAAGAAAATAGAAAGAAAAGAAGTGAAAAAGAAGGAGAGGTGTATATCCAAATTATACAGATACAAAAGAAGAGGAAAGAGAAGAAAAGAAACTATGAGCAATTGTTGATACGAGTTTAAACCAATGAAGCCATGCGGAGAAGGAGAATTCAAATTTGAATGGAAATAAAATGCTACAAGATAGTAACATATTATAGCTCAAATGTCACGTCTCCACTTTTTATGGCATTTTTAATGAAATCACATATTCAAACAAAATTATAAATAGAACATAAACAAACTTGCACATTCTAATGTAACAGTTTATTATACATCTATATATATATATATATATATATATATATATATATATATATATATATATATGTGTGTGTGTGTGTGTGTGTGTGTGTATGTATGTAATAGTAATAATATACAAGAGGAAGTCAAAAATTATCCGCATTTTTGTCTCAAGTTATGTTATGGCAAAAGTGTGGATAATTTTTGACACACCCTCATATAATATACATGACAGATGTTTAACTAATCTATCAAGAATGAGAATAGAAACTGATATTTCATAAAGCAATATTTGATAAATCAAAGTGAAAAAACTGTCTTATAGCTACTCATTTTACTGTTGCAAGATATATTTCTTTCATTCTAACCTGAAGAAGCCTATGTTTTAATATTAAAATATCCAATCGGAATAAAAGAACAAAACTGTATGATTTTTGTATTAAAGCCATTAATGCCGGTTTATTTATTAAGCGTCATTAGAAGACAACATTGTGAGTCATTTTTTATATTAAAAGACACCAATCTCTGCTCAACTTGAAACTCGCACCCCCCACTCCCTTCAAGCAGACCCAGACCCTCAATTACACCCTCCACCAGCTCACATACCAGATTGTACACCTATTGCTTTTGCAATGATTGGTGATATTTTGCATGAGCCTGGTCTTAGGCTTATCGTCAGAAACTGTGAGATCAGCACACTTTCAATACATTTTCTTTTTTTTCTTCTCCTGATCAGACTGGCATTTATTAAGTCAAAATTGTGGCCAGATTTATTTCAGTGAATGACCAGTGTGTTCAAAGTGTCATTGTACTGCATATCTCTGCAATACTTATAGCCTTTTTTGAGATTCCCAGAGGTTTCACCAATGTACGTCATTGGGCATTTCATAAAATATATTTTATAGATTCCTGCTTCTGTCTTGTTGCTATTTCATTTGGTGCTAACTATATCTCTTATTGTTTTAGAGGTAGTGTTAATGAATTTTAGATCATGGTTTGATAAGTTTATTTTTATGGTGACTGTTTATAGAGTCGGTAGGTCAAATTAAGTGCCTAATTATGTCATTATTGTTGGAATTATTATTTTCTGTGGATTTTTCAATTATTCTTCTGTGAATTTAGTAGGCTTTGCATTTTGCATTATAATTTTGGTATTGGAGATGCTTGAAAATGTCTTCAATAACTTTTTTTTTTTAATTTTTTTATTCAAACATTATCTTTAATGGACAGCCATTGTTTGAGTAGGCACCAATTTTTTTTTTTTATATACACACTATTTAACAAAAACAGGGTACTTACTCAAACATGGGCATCTACTACAAATAACATATGAAGTAATAAAAAAACCTCAGATTAAATATAAATACATTAATTCTTTAGAAATTGCTTTGTTCGTTTGGGATATAAAATCGAGAAGATATGTGCCTTTCAAGAAAATCCAAACAAAGGCTTGTGCATTCCTGAAATGGGTAAACAAAGCCTTTCTGGTTTGCAAGGCGCTATATTACTGAGTGATTTAAAGCATGCCAAATCAAATGGTGGTTTCTCTTACAAAAGGGGGCATAAGTTTGAACCCTGCTAGAGAGCACATTTTCTTTATTAAGTTTTCTTGAGTGTGCAGGCCAGCAGACATAATACACATTGTTTAAAAAGCAGAACGTCTACTCAAACATGGGTATCCACTAAAACATTTGAAGTACTAATAATAATAATAAAAAAGAATATTATACAAACACACATACACATTGCATATATATATATATGCGAGTCTGTATATAGAACTGTCATGCTAACCACTTTTCTGTATGGGGCTGATCCCTGGAGTCTATACCATAAGTATATCAGGCTGTTAAATGCCTTTCACATGAGATGATTACATCAAATCTGTGACATTAAGCAGTATGATAGAACCAAAAGTACAGATGTCCTTAACCGCTATAGAATATCAGGCCCTGAAGCAATCTTGATCAGAACAGAATTGAACTGGACTGGTCAACTTGTCAAAATGAAAGACTTTCACTTGCCTAAGCAGGTCTTTTTTGGACAACTGGTTGATGTAAAACATGGAGTTGGTCACCTTCTCCTCTATGGGAGCATTAGAAAAAAAAAAAAAAACGCCCAAAAAACGAATGTCATCATGTTTCAAGAAGGTCAAAAACTTAGAAAGTATGAGGCAAGAACACCACAAAACAAATAAACTCCATGCTAACTTAAAATCTTGTCACTTGAACACACCTAAAGCTAATTTTGTTTGTCAGTCATAAAAAGAGAAGCATCTTGTCACCACATGATGGCTGTACCTGTCACCAATGTGATGAAGTCTGCAAGATTGAAAAAAGCCTAAAGAGCCATATGACAACTCATGCTTTTTTTTCTGTTTTTATTTTTTTACTGAACCCTCATCCATCGTTCTCAACAGGAGAATACATTTGTGTGTGTATATATATATATATATATATATATAAAATCATTTTACCACAAGCAAGGCAACTGAGCCACTAACATGCAGAGGGTTACTGAGTGTAAAAGAATATAAGAAAAACATTAAGGAGCGAGAACAATAAATGAACAGAAATTAAGACACAGAAATTAACAGACGATAATAATTGGCATTGCATTTAAATTTTTTGAGGATCAAAGTTTACTTGGAAAGCAAGAAGCTGGAAGATAGTTCTACAAGCTAGAAAAGAAATTGTAACCTATGGTTACATATAGTCATTCGGCTGTAAAATGATGAAATCTTGCTGCTAAACTAGTAATGTACTTAAATTCATAGAGTCTAGGTACCATAGAGTAGAGTTCATTAGAACATTTACCATGAAAGTATTTATAAAAAAGGCATGCATATATATATATATATATATATATATAAAAATAGGCTGCTGGTGAAAAAACTCAAGAGATAAAAAACAAAAATAATATTGATATGACTAATGATATTTATTGTATATTAGTAGGCCTTTTAACCAAATGGAAGCATGATGAGAAAGGTTTTATAAATCGTAATTTTTGGACACACCCAAGTCCTCTGAACGAGATGAGAAATATAAAAAGAAATGGAACTTTCTTTTCCAGAGAATTCCCCCCACCCACTGCATGTGTTCCATTACCACATTCCCATAGAGAAAGGACACAGGTATGTCTGAATATTCTGATTTTTAAAATCTTTCTCATCATTTGGCCAAAAGGTAACACAATAAATATTATTAGTTTTATTATTAGTACGGTTGCTTTTTTTATTTCTCAAATTTCTTTCACCAGCCTATTATATCTATTACAAGAAGCATATGTGAACAATCTTTCTTTACTGTCATATATATATATATATATATATATATATATATATATATATATATTATTCAGAGGAGTTCTTCACTAAGGTACCTAGACTTTTTGAATTTAGGTGCAGCACTAGATTGGTGTCGGGGTTTCCCCAGTTTAGAGTTGAGCTGTCTAGATGGAGCTGTAAATTCTATACAAACAGTTTCTTTTCTCACACTTTTTACTTGTGGAACTCCCTTCCGGCTCCTTACTTTACAGCCAACTTTAATCTCAAAAAATTCACATGCAATATCATTCACTATCTACTCTCCTCCTGATTACTCTTTTGTCTTTCTGCTCATTAGTAATGTTTCTCTTCCTAATTCTTCCATGCTCTGTGACACTGTGTGTCTTAATGGATTTACTACCTTGCTTGGAATGAAATCAATTAAAAAAAAATATGTGTGTGTGTGAGGTAAAGATCAAAAGGAAATCAAATATGAATCAAAATCCAACAGAATGATATGATAAAGAATCAATAGTAAACATGTTTCACTTTTATTAAAGCTTTTATATATGTATGAGTTGGGATCAAATATGGATCAGAATCCAACAGAATGAGAAGATAAAGAATAAATAGTAAATGTATGTCAATCTAACATGTTTCACTTTTATTAAAGCTTCATCTTTCAATCTCTAATGAAGCTGTAATAAAAGTGAAACATGTTAGATTGATATGTATTTCCTATATGCATGTATGCATGGGATGATAAAAGAAGATAACTAAAAGTACAACTGACCTAATATGGAGAAAATTAACATGAAGAATAATAAAAGCAACAACATGTCAAAAATGGGTCGTAAGGACTGCAGGATCTGTCGTGTAAATCTGAAACAAAACAAGAGATTTAACTAAATATATTTTAAAATTTCTTTTTTTAACATTTTAAAATTTCTTTCAAATAAAAAAAATAAAAAAAGATGTTGCAAACTATATTAGTAAATAAAAGAGCATCTGAATAAAAATATCAAAACAGTTTAAATATATTGTTAGGGCAGGGGTGGGCAAGCTTTAGCATGCATGCCAAAAATGGCACAATGACTTATTTCTGGCACGCAAAACTTATTCATTTAGATTCCACTTTTTACTTACTTTTATTCTTTCTCTTCTTTCATGTATATCATTATCATCTGTATTTTTATTTCCTGCCCTTTATAGATTGTGTAGAATGTCACAATTTTCATCTAAGAAATGACGTCATTCAAATGAAGAGGATATTAGAGAATTTAAAGAATACTAGTCTGAAAAAATTGGCATGATTAAGAAAGACAATAAAGCCTCATGTATTTTCTGTTCTGAAACAATTGTTTGTATGACTGTAAAGAGACATTTGAAAGGGGGGGTTCATAAGAACTTAAGCAATAAAACTGAGGAGGGACAGAGAGAATTAATTTCTCATGAACTGATCAAGACAAAAAACAGGCTGATACTTTTATAAATTTTATTTCAGGTAGGCCCAGTTCCAACTTAGTTGCAGCGAGTTTTGAGGTTTCAAAAGTTATTGCTCAACATGGAAAGCTGCTCAGTGATGGAAAGCATATTAAAGAAGCTTGGCTAAAGTCTGCGCCTTTCCTTTTTGACAATTTTTTTCAGAAAAGGAAAAGATTATTCATATCAATGACACTAGCACATTTTCAAATTTGATATTAGTAAATAACAGTGACTTAGCCTATGGCCATAACTCTGTAAAAGTCAAAGATCGATTTGACACTGCATCGATATAATAAACGAGACCCCCACTTCTAAAATCAATATTTTCCAATTCTGACAAGTGCTGCTGCCTAAAACAGGTATAAAAAATGCACATATACAAAAATTACCCCCCCATCCCCCAAAAAAATTTCCCTTATTTTTTATGAGGGGACCTATCTATTTAAGTAGTGCCAATCATTGAATAAGGGTTGTTATTCAAAAATATTATGTGGATCAAATAAACAAAAGCCTGCTTACCTTCTGACACCCTTACAATAATACGAGTCCATGAGGAATAAAGGCCGAAGGGCTCTCGTTACACGGAAGTGATTTTGTTGGCGACAAATCACTGTGATTGCTTCAATGATCATAATGAACAATACAAAAGACTGAAAAAGAAATATAAACAAAGACTGAAGCATTTCTTTAAATGATAACTTCAGGAGTTAAGACAATAGGGCAGGTCGATTTTAGAACTGTTGTATTGCACTCAATTTGAAAGTTTGGCTTTGACATTATAAATGAAGACACAAAATATTCTTTTCCAAATTGTTACCATTTCTAGAGGTGATTAGTTGTAAAGATTAAGTTTAGCTTCAGAATCGTAGCATTGGAATTTCATTCTGGTGATCAATGAAAGCATTATAGTACAACTTTATAAAATTTATAATTTACTGAAGCTTTACAGATTATATATGGACAAGATGCATGGCACAAGCACATTATTACTAAATCATTGTGCCATGAAATAAGACTTTCATTTACTTCAATGGGAAATTATACTGTTTTAAAACAATCTACCTATATTATGATGTAATATATTATACAGTGCAATAGATTTTCAATAAACAATGCAAATTTAAAACATTTTGTCATATAATTTGTGCCCAGCAGTGTTATGGTGTTATATACCTTTTATCTATTTTTTTGTTTTTATTAATTACTAGCCAAGATACCCGCCATTGCCCAGGTGTACATGGCTGCAATTGTATAATTGCACACTCCCATCTAGAAATGTCAGCCTGGGTCCCTGCTTGCAAGCATCATCCGATGGTATACTAAGCTACTACCTACCATCATATTTACAGTATGTCCTTCACAAGTGTTTGATTGTTCTTAATAAAGGAATTCCATTGATAAAACCTTCTTGTATGGTCATTGCTCAGGATTAAATTGTTTCAATCTTTTAGATATTTAGTAAATTTCCTATGATTATAATAACTTTCAAATAGTATGGTACTGTTCACATATCTAATAATAAAAAAAGAAAAAAAAAACAAGTATGAAATATCAGAGCAAATTGCAAATGCATGAAGTCCCCCTCCTTTTCTGCACGTTTACTGTACAGGTGGGGTCAATAAGAGGTTTTTGGGAATTTTTCCCTTTTAACACTAACAATAAGTCGTACACACTTTCAGTTTTATCAAATTTTCTGCCAAACCAGAGGGGCCTGGATATTGAAAAGTTGGCCTTGACCTATCTTGGTAAATTTGCAGCATGTGCATACAATTTCATCAAAGTTGGTTGAGAAAAGTGGACATGCATATAGCATGCACACAGACAGACATCTTTTTTATAGATATAGATGATCTAACAAATCTTATTCATTGAATAGCCCTTTTTTGTAATCTTATTTTTTTTTTTTTTTTACAGTGTTTATTTACCAAATACAATTGCACATGTTGTTTGTGGTGATTCATAATTAGAATTCTGGTTTGAATATATTTTCCATTCAATGTATCTGATGCAAAATTTAGATTTATTCTTGAAATAGTAAAATTTTGAAGTCAGTTTGTAAGCAAAAAATTAGGTATTTCTATACATTTTTCAGACAGTCTTTAAAACTAAATGCTCAAAAACTGGTAAGAGCTATGAATTTAATTTTTAGTGTCAGTACTTATCATATCAAACCCCAGCTTTCACACTGAGCGCAATGTTGATTTTCTGAAAAAAGTGAAAAAAAAATCAACCTGCCCTATAGCACAAGGTTCCAAATTAGCTTGTTTTCATGATTGTTCCAAAACCATGTACTTAAAATTTTAAGTTGTCTCAAAATCAAATAATGCCAGTTGTAATAAAAATACAAAAGGTTAAAATATTAAAGTTTTAAAATGAATAGATACAAAAAGAATTAGTTGAATTTTACTGTAATTTTTTTTTATAAAACTCACACCATTTTTATTTAAACATTTTCATTTTTACACAAAAATGTTCATATTAAGTAATCTTTATGTACAGAGCAACTTTTAACATACTTTCATTTAAGAACTGTGCCCTATATATTCTGTTTCTTTATAAAGAATATTAGTAAATTCAAACTATTCACAAACAAAACAGTTTTTAAAGTCTTTATCAAAAAACATTTTCATTGACCTACCCTGAATTATTTCAAAATTTTTTTTTTTTTTTTCAAATTTTAATTCAGGTTTTATCCATAGTTTAAAAAGAAGCTGTTTTAACTGTGTGTGTGTGTATGCTCCATTTATTAAAAGCTCATTACTATTGGTTAGACTCAAGAGTTGCTTGGGCTTTTTTCTTTTTAAGAAATTAGTTGCTTTTAGAATAAATACAGAGTGCCCAGTAAAAATAGTGGTAAATTCAGAAAGAAATTTATTTAGCTATCATGATTCATACACAAACTGAACAATCATTATAAAAGAACCAATCAGAGTGAGATTCAAATGAATATTCAAGAAATTTATTCAAGGTCAATTATTCCTGAAAGATAAAATAGTGATAATAAATTTGCTGCTTTTTTACTCAACACTCGGTATTTTGATTTAAGATTTTATATCACCCCAGTATCACCTGCCAAAAAAAAACTTAGCCAGTCATATCTGAAATTATGTCAATCTGGAGCACTGATATAGTTAATCAAGGCTCTCCACGGAGGCTTTTTCTTCACTATGTATGAATTGCCATGAATTCTTGGGAAAGATAGTAGAGTGGGGTTCCCATTGTTTTCTCCAGTTTTGAATTTATAGTAGTCCTTCTTCTAAACTGGCTGCCACCCAAAGTAATCTACATTACGATATAACTATAACTAGAGAGAAATGAGATCGATTCATACCTCTACAAGGACATTAGTGTGAAAGTGAATGCAAGAGATGAGGCAGGAATTTGAACTCAGCCAACCAAATCCATTATCTTGTTTATTACTCACAATATTCAGTCTTTGCCCCCTCCAGCCTTCTTCAACAGTCTGTCGTCATACTCAGTAACCTTCTTTGAATTTCAAACCAAATTTGTTATGCCATCCACAGGGGTGGATTGTTCTCATTCTGCTTTCCATGCTTACAGAATATCTCATGACCAACTCCTTCTATGTGTCACAGTTGAACGCCAATGTCGGAGTTTCTGGAAATGTTTTCCCAGTTGATTTAGTGATGTTGTTAGGCCACATTTTTCTTCTGTCCACCTCTTTTTCTAAAAGTAAGTACCTTGCAGGATGGGAGGGGAAAGCTGGTTAGTTCTTGTGATATGGCCATACCATTTTTTTTTTAATCATTTCATCCGAAGCAAGGCAACAAAGCCAGTAACACATATAGGTTACTGAGAGTGAAAGAATATAAGAAAAACATTATTAAGGAGTGAAGAATAAAAAAAAAACAGAAACTAAGATTGAAGGTAACGATTCAGCTTTCTCTTCTTGACAGTGGCTATGAGAAATTTTAATGGATCTTCCAATTGTTTCTCGCACTGTGGTATTGTCTACATAGGAGATGCCTAGGACGTTTCTGCTGCATCTCATTTCTAATGCTTGGATTCTTTGTTGTAGTTCTGCTGTTAATGTCCAACATTCACAGGTGTAAAGAATGACTGAGAAGGTCAATGCAAGCAACAGTCTGATCTTTGATATCATGCAGGTTTGAAGAATGACTTAGAGCCAGGAAATAAACAGACCATTCCACAGAAGCAAACACCACCAGCCAGTTTTAAACAACACACAATTTCACAAGTTTCCTTAACATTAAAAAAATAACCTGATGCTTGAGCATTAAAATACTGATTTTGAAAAATATGATCAACTGAGAAAAGAATCTTTTCCACACCCCTTCATAGTAGCTAAAAAAATATCACAGCTTTCTAAATGTTCATAACTCAGAAATTATGTTAAATTTTGAGTGCTACCTCCTACACTTATTATAGTGCAGAGCTGCCATTCTAGTTGTCATATATTTAATATTATTATTATTAAATAAAATATAACATTCAATACTTATTATTATTGTATCTCATTTAATCATATTTATCAGCCTAGTCTCATATTGAACAGTTTATTAGCAGAAAACCTGTTAAATTTTGTTGTTGTTGGCACCCACTTGCATCTGGATCATCATGCTCTTTCCCAATTCCCTTTCTCACCCCTGGGGCAGTGATGGAGATGGTTGTGAATGAAAATGTTTGACAAGGCTATTTGTGTGAATCTGATTTTCATGGACAAGTCTGTGCAACGTAGAAGCCCAAACACTTGGCCAGAGGTGCCTATCTCACAGCTTAAAGGGAATTGAGACAGACGAGATCTGGCAAACTTGACTGCGTCAGACTATCAGATGCTTGTTCTCTCAAGGTCTGCCGTGGTTACGCCAACCCGACAATAAACTACATCCAACAGCAAGGCCTCTGATCCAGAGGTTTTGAGGAGTGTGGAACCACCTCTTAATTACTGGTGTTCCCAAGTCCACTCTAACCCAGGGTGGTAGCACCTGTTAGGGTCCCAGCTATGGGCAAATAGTTAATAATTACCAGCAATACTTTTTGAAAAAACTATTACCAGCAATACAATTTTGAAGGAAAAATATTACCAGAAACAGATTTTTGATAAAAAAAATATTACCAGCAATCAAAAATTTTGTCGGCATTATCTAACCCATCGAGATTGATATGCCGTAAGACAAAAACTAAACCAAACTGACTGGTACTGCCCTCTTCCACCAATTTGGCTGTTGAAATCGTGTAGAACTTTTGTTAAAATATGTTAAATATATGTTAAATTATATAATTTTACGTACATTAATTGCTAATTGGCTGATGGCTATATCACATTGAAACACTGGTCCCATACGATCACAGGAAGTTTAGTAATGTCAAGCCTGGTCAGTACCTAGATTGGTGACCATTTAAGAATATCAGGTGCCTGAAGCTTGGATTTGTGGCAGGTGTAATGCATAATGGTTTGGGATTGTTAATCAGAGCTGAGTTCTAATTCCAGTTGGGTTTGTTATATTCACTTACACATACCCTTGGGAAAGGGTCTGAATCCACCTCTTCTCCCCCCCCAGTTATAGGTTAATTAGTAAAATGTTGTTAAAGTGTAGAAAATGAACCAATCAAATCAAATTAATTGCTAGTATTAATTATTTCATTTAATGATATACTTCAGATTGTGTAGTATTAGAGAAAATATTAATTCTAATGAGACATTAATGTAATACAGTCAGTCTTCTATTTTATCATTTTAAACAAAGAATTAACATTTTGATTAAAAGATGCCAAGCAGAGAATTAACATCCTCATTTATTTTTAAACCAAATTACATTAACAAATTTAACCAGTTAGCTTTTAACTCTACAAAAAAAAAAAAAAAAAGTAATTATAACTTACTTTGTACAAAGCAAATAATAAAATAACTATGACTTATGGTAATTTGAGGCTATATTTCTCATTTATTTGAACTAGTATCCTAATCTTTGTTCTTTTTATCACATCATTTTAGCCTGAAATTTCTTCTACCTTCTTCACTTCTATGTTACATCTAGTAACTCTCATGCCTAAATGTCCTTCTCAAGTTCAAAGTTTTTAAGATTAGCAGATAAGCCTTTGCAGATTTTAAACTTAATCTTTGAATAAATTTAATGTAGGTTAATGTTTGGTTTTGTTTTTGTAGTTTAATTGATGACAAAAATAAAACAATTAAATAACAAATATACTTACCTTTATGGCAGTTCTTTTATGTTTGAAAAATGTCTTTCCTTTAAGCCATTTCAATCGAATACCAAGGGACATAGTCAGGATTAAAAGACAAAACAATTCCAAGGAACTATGGATCTGAGATAAAGTAAGAGATTTTTAAGAATTATATAAATATATATATATACACACACACGCATACCATATTATAAAGAAAATATCCATCTCTCTCTCTCTCTATATATATATATATATATAGAAAAAGTTGTAAATTAAAAAAATAATAATGTTTTATTTTATGAAAGTATTTATTTATATATATATATATATATATATATATATATATATATATATATATATATATATATAATTAGATGGCTTGGATACTTTTGTTGTGTGACCTTTAGTCTATTTTCTCCCATTTTATTTTCCTTCTTTTTACTTCAGATTGAGTCATTAATGCCAACCATTCCATTTTCAGTATGGTCTTCATTAATGGGGTATAGACAGAAACCATCCTTAAAAAGGGATTTTTAGCAACTTGGAAATCCATGCACCCCCGCCCCCAAAGAAGAATATGTCAAAAGGACAACAAAAATATTAAAGACTATTTATTAGACCATTTATTTACAACATTCTAAAAACTAATACAATTAAAACTGGTGCAATGCAATATTTATCAGTTACCAATTTATAAAGAAATAAATATGTAAACAATTTTTTATTCATAAATATTGACTAAATTACTAAAATTTGTGAAGCAACTATAAAGAAATCCTAATTATTTACCATTTTATAAAGTTTGAATTGATTGGCAATTATCTGATATCTTGCCAATCAGTCAAATAAACAATCTAATAAATAAATAGTGTTTATTATTTTTATTGTCAATTCTCAAGAACAAAAAAAATGTATAAATTCACTTTCATATTTTTTGGTTTTATTAAAATTCTAATCATCGCTTTTTAAAACAATAAATATTGATGAGGAGTTAAAATAATAGCAGTGTGAAAGGAAAAATCATCCTTTTGACACCTTTTTTTTTGTTTTCAGTCACAAAGATTGCTGGATTTCTTTTATGAGTTCACAATACTGGATTTTTATTTTTATTTTAATAATTAGTACCAAATTTTCCAGGAGCCATTACTGGTTTAAAGTAATACAAATATGTAATTGTCACCAAGTGAGCTTTACAAAAAGAAGAAAAAAAGCAGCAAATAGTGGAGAAATAAAAGCTTTTTTTTAATCTTAACTCATTAATGCTCGACATAAAATCCTGTATTAAATTATATTTTTTAATCATTTCACCCCAAGCAAAGCAATGAAGCCACTAAGATGAAATGGGTTACTGAGTGTTAGAGAATATGAGAAAAAAATAATGTTAAGGAGAGAGCACATTAAAAGAATAAAAATTAAAAAGACAGAAAATAATGATTGACATTGCATTTAAATTTTTGAAGATCATGTTGGCTGCAAAGCAAGAAGTCAAAGGAGAGTTCCACAAGGAAGAAGTGTAACAGAAGAAACTATGGAATCTGTGAGAGTCATGATCACTTATATCCCAAAGTGGACATGTCATTTAAAAAAAAAGATAGATAGATAGACAGAATGAACAGAAAGAGTCATCTAAGCTCTCTTCATCACATTTGATTGCATATATGGTTTTAGCATCTCATATGCCTTGAAATGCTGAGCATTTGAAAGTTAGGAAAGAAAGACCAAAGCAGGAATGTTGCTATCTGGATGCTTGGTGACTACTTTGTGCACTTCATGGTGAAAAGCGCATAATCTTGATATGTACTTAAGTTACATGACTTGCATACATGCTTTGCCCTCTCTCATGCATCACTGACATGTTACTTGAAGATGGCAGCCTTAAGTTTTATCTTTGTTAAGCCACATTGTTGAACATATTATATTTTGATCGTATTTCATACAGAATAATTTATCCTACTTCAATGATTTGAAGAAAAACAAAAGAAGTTTTATTTGCAATATTTACACTATCATTGGTGAGAAGAGAGGCAGATGGAAATTATATTTTTATTAGCAAAAATGAATTGAGAAATGAAAACAGAATGAACCCACTGTGAGGGTTATGATCATGAAAATCAATCCTGTTGTATCAGGCAGGCGGTCTGGTTTATGTTTATGCTAAAACGGTGATCAGCCCAAGGATGAAGAACAGCATGTCACTTTGTTGAGAATTTAGGTAAACAATATATATTTTCGTTGATGAAAACAAATTGAGAAATCATTTTTATCTATCACTCAGAAGGTTAAAATGAGAAGCAATGGTTTGGTATGTGTTCTCACTGGACAGAGATAATTTTAGGAAAGTGGAAGGATATCAGAGAATTGAAATTAATGAGGAGAATAAACTATGCCCTTTCACCTACACACTTTAAAAATTAGATTTGTCACAAAGACAGTTATGCCAGCCCTGAGAGGTGGGCAGAGTTAGTATACCAACAAGGAAGGAGGACGAGGCAAAATTTAGCCCTGCCTGTGTGAAGTGATGGTGTGGGATGTGAAGTGAAGCAGGTTGGAGTTAGGAGCAATCCCTGTGATTACTCCCAAGGAAGGTGGATAATTCACCAAATTTGGAAAGTTGATTAAGAAAGCAGAATTAGGGAACAAAGAAAACATTTTTGGGGATTAATGTGAGGATTGAGGAATCACCAAATCCTCAGAACCCTTTGGACCTATGCCAATTTTGGACGAAAATGCATATAAGCAGATGACTTTGGGAGCTTAGAGACTTGGGCTGAGAACCGGCATCAAGAGCCTCTGAAATCCATGTCAGATGCTACCAGATTTTCTGATTCCGAAGAATTTTGTACCCAAATTATTAGGTGAATCACAGTGTCACTATAAAGAATGATGTAGGAAGGGTTTTTGCTGTATCAGGAGCTATATAAACCAACTGAAGATTCACCCTATGAATCTTTTGTTTTATTTTTTTTGGCGTGAAGATATTTTTCTTACTTAATATAGCACCCACCATGGCTTGAACCAGCACTGCATTTACTACAACATTTGATCTCCCACTGCTCTGGGATCAAGAACACAACGCGTGGAGTGTTGGTATGGATCAAAGCGACCAGCAACCAACAACCAGATTGGACTTGCATCAGCACTGACCAGCACGGAATTATCCGTGGTTAAAACGTTGTCCAAGGCCCTGAGGATCAGACCACTAAACATGAAGGCAGAGACAAAAGGAGTTATATATTAATTGGTGAATGTGACCAAGGATTTGACCTTGGGTTGCAGCTATTATAAACAGTGTAACTAATGATAACACCTTATCCAAGAAATTCAGTCACAAATTATTTGAAATAGTTTTAGCTTATTTTTTCTCAAGGCAAAATGTTTGTTTCAATTTCTTGCAAAGCAGACGAGACCAAGTGATCCAGCCCTTCAGTTCTGATTAGTTTCTCCTAATCCACTTACCCCAACAGGAAGCGCCATTCCTTTGGCAGCAGGTCTTTCACAGATAGCCAATGAGAGAAGTATAATGGAGGCTGAGAGGTCAAGCATATAGAACCATTTGTTATGAGCAACATGGTAGGTGGGGAGGGCTTCATAGCTGGTCGGATGTGTATCGTACTTGTCATTATTTTCTCCTTCTTGCAGAAATATTGCTGCCTCCTGATAATTAAGGTTCCACTTGTATGAGTAAAGTGTCCGTTGGGAAGCTGCAATGTCATCTACAAGGCTTGTAACCACTTCCCCTTCTCGGTTGCACATGTCCACCACCTCAGTTTCAACTGAAAAAAAAAATTTTTTAAATCCATCAAACTCTCTAAAATAGCCAAAAAAAAAAGAAAAAAAAGAAAGAAAAGATTTTCTTAAAAAAAATTATTTACCATAAAGTCCTATAAAATTAAATTAAAGGAATTATTAAACCACAAAATAAGGTTTTTGTCCAAGTATTTTTCCAAACAAATCAACTTATTCAAATTTCATCGATTGGTTTGCAAAATTGAACGAAACGTAGTTTGTAAATCTCAACAAAAAAATTTCAACATACATCAGTGTGTTGCCAAAAAATTGAGGAATTATAAGTTTGGCTTCGGAATTGGCTGTAGCATAGATCTGGGATCGAAATCAACACAAAAGTTCAAATCTACCAGGCTCTGGTGAGGACAATCCTTCTCTACAGCTGTAAGATGTGGGACCTTCACAAGCTTGATCACTTCAAATTTTCCATGTCTGCTAGCAACACTTCATCTTGAATACTGCCTTCCTCACTCTCTTCAAAATTGGCTCTCTCCAACAAATTCTGCATACAAGGAGATTTTAGTGGTTTAGCTATGCTCGTCATCAACAACTGGGCAAATTCATCCATGAGTAAAATGCTTCACACATCCCACAGGATTGATGAAAGTGGCATGGTGGACAGCTAAAAATGTGGCTTAAGAACCATTCATGAGTTTGTGCGTGTTTGGGCCTCACCAATGGAACTGTGATTGATTAGCTCTTGTGGAATTAGTTACATCAAATTTGTTTGATGGAGCATGCCCAACCAATCCCAAGCAACAAGTAGTAAGAATTAGAAGTTCTAAAACTTCTCCAAGAAAGGCAGCAGATGTGACAAACACAGGAATGAGAATAGAATCTGTAGATTGAAATAAAACATTACAAAAATGCAAGAGAGACATCATGAAATGCAGATACAGTGGGGGAAGTATCAGAAAAAAATAAAATAAAGATGACGGAATTAATTGGAATGAATAATAGCAATAATACTTGGTTTCAGAAACTCAAATATTTTTATAACTTGCACATTCTTTTAAGACTTCCTTGCAAACCCATCCCAAATGTTTTCCTTCATTCCTTTACTCTTGCTATTTAATCAGTATACAATATAACATTTGAGAAACCAATAAAATTATTTACATCTCCATTTCAATAAAAAAGTGATAGTCTGTTTTATAACTGCATTGTGCATATATTAAAAATGTTATGTTGGTCTGTGCGTTCTTTTTTATGTTCCCTTCCTGAATATTAAACTAAATGTAATATTAAATAAAAATAAAAATTGAACTCAGCCTTGACCTCTTGCTATAAATGCTTTTAAATTATTTCCTTTTTTTTAATCATATCATGCCAAGAAAGGGGTTACCAAGAAATACGAAGGAAAAAAATATTAAGGAGAATAGTACTGCACTTAAATTCATAAAGTCTACGTACCACAGAGGAAAATTCATCAAAACAATTAACCTGAAAGCATTTATCGAAACAGTAAAGGGAAGCTACATTATAGCGGTGCAAAAGTCAGGACCAATAAAATTAAAAACTTTATATTACTTTATTTTACAATTCAGAAAAATGTAAAGACAACAATTGAGCCTCTTCATTGTCCCCATGCTTTAAACAAAACAATTACAGTTAATGAAACTAAATTTTAATATATATATATATATAATATTATATATATATATATATATAATATATATATATATATATATATATATATATATATATAATATATATATATATATATATATATATATATATATATATATATATATATATATATATATATATATATATATATATATATAATATATATATATATATATATATATATATATATATATATATATATATATATATATATATATATATATATATATATATATATATATATATATATATATATATATATATATATATATTATATATATATATATATATATATATATATATATATATATATATATATATATATATATATATATATATATATATATATATATATATATATATATATATATATATATATATATATATATATATATATATATATTATATATTATATATATATATATATATATTTGTATATTTAGGCAGAAATCCTTCCTTTATGCATGTTTCATTAAAAATGACAGACAAGGTACTACGGTTGAGCTTTTTATTTAATTTTTCTTGTGTTCTAACAAGAGCTTTCTTTTCTGGACAAAGAGTGTGTAAGAACTGTCCGAATGTTCTGTATTTCCGAGCACTTTCGGCTATACCTTTAGCCATTATGAAGGATGATTCAATTATCAGCTTAGTAGAGTGTATGTGTTCTGTGTATGTTCGGTGTGTGGTAGTGATGTTTTTAGTTTCCGAATCTGGTTAGCACATTGTGGCTTTGTTCATAGTTAATATTGTTAAGAGTTGGCTTTTTCTTTTTTGTTAGAACACAAGAAAAATTAAATAAAAAGCTCAACCGTAGTACCTTGTCTGTCGTTTTTAATGAAACATGCATATATATATATATATATATATATTTATGAGTACTCCCAGCTATGGGTAAAATAGCAAGACAGACTATGGGTAAAATAGCAGGACAGTCATATAGCCTTGGTTGGCAACCTGTCTAGAAGGAAAAACTGAATTCAAAACCAGACCAGAGAAGGTGGGGCTCTGTCAGGCTATCCTGTCCAGAAAACACCATTGCTACTGTGGCTGCAGTACACATGATGCCCCTATGACCCAAATGGGTTACAGGTCTCCTGATTGTGATTACTTTAAATGTTATATTTCGAGGGTACAATGTTTATGTCAACAAGCAAGTTTTTTTGCTCTTAAAATAGTTTTAAATAGTGAAAATTTGAAACAGTGAAATTAATATCTACCAGCCTAGAGATTGAAAGTCTTATTAAAGAAAATATGCCTCTCAACAGGTGTACTTTAACTCTTAACTACAAAAAGCCATCACAGCAAAGCAAGGTTCAATTACCCTGTTTAAGAAATGCATCTCTTGTTGGGACATTTTAAAGTCTATATCCACTAACCTTATTTTCGTAACCAAAACAAAGTAGGTTTTTAATCTAACCTTATTCATTATTACTATAAACTTTTAGTGGGTATATATTAGGTCTGATCAAAAAGACTGTTGCTATGGTAAAAGTCTTTTTGATCAGACCTAAATTTCTATGCAGAGTGAAGCCGCTTGGCACAGACTCACTTTGAACTGTTATACATACACACTAAGTTATCTCATTCTTGCTCACTTCCACTGTTTATAGCAGTGCTTGGAAGGAAAGTGTGTGGTCACCTCACTACACCATAGAGGTTCCATCAGTGACTATGGCTTGTGCATCAGTTTTTGGCCAAGTACAACATTCCACAGGTTTGACAACCAGCATATTTCCCAGATCTCACCCCTAGCAACTTTCTCATCTTTCCAAAAATCAAATCTCACTCGAGAGGAAACAGATTTCAAGACGTCAAGGAAATCCAAGAGAATGTGATGAGGCAGCTGTTTGCTATCCAAAAAAAGAAGATCCAGGAATGCTTCCATCAGTAGAAACAATTCTGGATAAAGCGTATGGCTTCAGAAGAGGACTATTTTGAAGGAGATTATATGCCGAATTGATATGTGTCGTAGTTTTATTTTCATAGCACCAGTCCCGATACCTTTTGACCAGACTTCATGTGTGTTAGAGTAGACATCCTTTTGTTTTTATACAGTGAAATTACCAGCCAAGTACTAAAGAAAATGTACCTGTCAACAAGAACTGAACCTGTACTTCCTTGAATACATATTTAAATATACCTTGCTTTGAAAGTTTATTTGTTTAGAGAGCTGATCACAATTTAACAGTTCCTGTAACATCCTATTATTGTACTTGTTCCTCTCTTCATTGGTTTGCACGACCATTATGCTCTGGCAATAATTAACTGTCTCATTTTGAATGTGTGGAAAGACACTACTTGCTTTCAGTGAGAAAAATGAAAGAAAGAGGGGAAGATAGAAGTTTGTTAATGTCACCTACCAATACCTAATAAACAAAGGACTATTCCATTTTAATTGTACAGAAAAACAATGCATATCAGAGCTGCTACTTGGTTCCAGTGAGAAAATGAATGAAAGAAAGAAGCAAAGATATTTGAGTGTTTAAAGGCTGTTTCAGTAAAATGAAAAAGTCCACTTTCAAATCTCTTGTTTTGTACCCCCTTACTTCTTAAAATAATGACCAGCAGTCATATTTATCATTGTTATTGCAATATTTTGTTAAAGTTGTTAAGCACAAATATTTAACTTTGCATTAGGGACATTTCTATGGATATTTTGCTGTTGTAGAACTCAGTAGGAGCTTATTCAATAATTAACTTAAGAAATAAGATTCATCAGAAAATTCAAATAGGAAAATTGTGAAATTTTAACAGGCATTTTTAATCTCTATTAATATGTTGGCTTCTATCTAAGATATTGTCATGTTTATCTATTAATATACAAAGTAATGCTGAAAACTTTTCAGCTCAACTTAAAAACTTTTGAAAATCAAATTTTTGGTCTTATGGGCACATTTTGAGAAGTGGGTCAGGCTGAGAACTTTTCTGCAACCATTATATATATATATATGTGTGTGTGTGTGTGTATATATATATATATATATATATATATATGTATGTGTGTGTATATATATATATATATATATATATGTGTATGTGTGTGTGTATATATATATATATATATATATATGTATGTGTGTGTGTGTGTGTGTGTGTGTATATATATGTATATGTATATGTATATATATGCATGTGTGTGTATTGGGGAAAATGTATGACAAAGCCGAAAAAGTTTTTGTGTAACATCCTTTAAATTAAATCTGTTATATTGGTGCGACTAGACATCACACAAACAAGGAATGTTGGGAATTTTCATTTTTTTTTGGTATATAATCTAGCTGATTTCATTTCTATTCTTTTTTTTTTCTTTCCATCACTCTTGTTAGTAGATATCCCACATTATGATAATAGAAGTTCT